GCGCGGAAGGGAGCCATGGGGCCCGAGGCCTAGAGGAAGCAGCATTGGTTTGGGTCTGGAGTCAGGATCTAGCCATTATTCCAAATCAGATCATCACCCCACAACACAGACAAAAAGTAAAGCCCTTTCCAAAAGCACGTGCTGGAAGCGGATGCCACAGCCTTTCCTGGCTGCAGCCCTGCAGCTGCCATGCATCAGCAAGCCCCCCATTCATCCCCACCTGCACTCATTCTTTTCTTGCTCCACCTCAACAAACTCAGTGAAAGAGCAATGGGGCATGATAAGAACTCTTTCAAAGTTTATTTATTTAGCACAAGCACTTGCCCAAACATCCCACTGCGTCCGTCATACAAACCAAGCAAATGCCAGGCCGGCTCTAAAAGCCAGAGCCATTGTTGAGTGTGGGCTGGTGGGGGCAGGGAGGGTGGGCAGAAGGGAGAAAGCGACGAGGGCAGATGCCTATGCCTGAGAGGCAGGGTGGGCAGGAGCCCTGGGCCTCCCCTTCCTGGCTGGCAGGGCAGAAGCTTCACCCCTCCAAGCAGGCCTGGTGGCGAGGCCTGAGGGCCCGGGGCTTGGGGCAGATACCTGAGCAGGGCGAGGTGGGTGTCTGGAGAGGCAGGAGCCAGGGGGCCAGGGGGTGGTGTCCTAGCTGGTTACAAGGGAGGGACTAGAGCTAAACGGTATGTTCTCCAGGCACTGTTGGGCAATTCTGGATCCACCTAAGCATCAAGCCCAGGTCCCTGATGGGCAGCTACCTGACAGAAACTAGGAAACAAAGAAAAAGACCTTAGCTCTTCTGTCCATCCTCCACCTCACCGGCCCCCAGGGCACTGGCTTCCCAGAACAGTGGGTGGGTACAAGGCCCGTGAACATGGGCATATGCATGGGGGATTTGCTTCAGTTGGCAGGGACATTCGGAGGAGTCTGCAGTGATCTCCTGATAGGGATCCACTCGCAGGCAGAGGATCAGTACCTCAACCCCATGCTGTACCCTGGGGCAGCTCTCAGGCCACTGGCCCCTGTCTCAGACGCCTCCCCCTCCTCCTGGACATGCTGAAGTTCCCAGCTCCACACACTGACTTCCATGTGTCCCCAAGCTACGGGGAAGTCCAGGAACCACTAGTTCAGGGCTGGGCCTAAAATCCTTAAGCACACACCAGAGTGCAGGAGACGTCAGAGCCCAGGGCTGCCTATTGGAGTCTGCCTGGAAGGTGCCAGTGTGTGATTCTATGACTGAGGCACACGGCCCACCATGGGCGGTGGCTGATGGATGTACAAAGATGTTTCCTGTCATATGCAGGTGGCCAAGAGCTAGCATTGTGCCCAGGGGGCCACCCACTGGGCTGGGCTGGTCCTTGCTGCAGACTTGGTACAAAGTATAGCACCCCACCCACCTGGGCCTGGACTTGTCTGTCCATGCAGAGGGACAGGTCCAGCAGAGCTGTCATGGGCACAGGCCTCCAGGAGCCCAGATTATTGTCCTGCTCCACAGCGGTGAGATCGTTGGGCTCAATCATACAGTCACTCTGAGAATCAGCTTCCTGTCTGTAAACAGAGAATTGTTAGCCTGCCTTAGGTACAGGGATGTTGTCAGGATTAAAGATAATGGACACGAAAAGACTTTATATGCTGTACAGCATCGTGGTAGGAATGCAAGTCATTTGCTTTATCTTCATTGCTGGGATGATATTTGACATTGGGAGTATTTCAAATTGAACACATCCAGGCAATAATTTCCTGGTGGAGATATTAGAGCTGTCTGAGCTCAGGGGCCCTGAATCTCATAGTGGAAGGAGCATAGGCCTTGGGACCAGATAAATCTGGGTTCAAAAATTATTACCAGTTGAGTGATGTTGGGGAAATTAGTCCATCTCACCAAGCCTCAGTTTCCTGTCTACAAAATGAGCACAGTCACAGTCACCTGACCTGAGGCAAGGAATCGGCTCTCCCCAGGCCTTAGTTGCGGCAAAGGAGGCCAATGACCTCAACACACAGGCCCCTGGGGGCACCTGGCCCAGGGTAAATGCACTGTAACAGCCCTGTTCCTCTCTCCCCCTCCCTTCCTTCTGCAGCTGTTCTGTGTCTTGGAGCCCTTTCAGTGACCAGCTTGCCCTCCCAAGTGCAAATCCCCTCCCAGATCCAGCCTGCACTGGGCAGATTTCTGCGCTGTCCATCCCATGGACCTCAGCCCCTATCCTCCCAAAGAGACAGGTTCACTCTAACCCCTGATCACGGTGGAGGTGGATAGGCATGAGGCTGGGTCCATGGCGCTTCCCCTACTCCAGGCCTCAGTTCCAGAAGATGCCTCACGCCAATTCTTGGTTTTTAAGCTCCAGCTCATCCCCTGAAGCTCAACTCAGATGTCACATTCTCTCTTTTCTTCCCTCGGCACCCACCCTACCTCTCAGGGTTGGTCCTAGCCTCCTCTGTGCCCCCAGCGCCCTTTCCTTACGCCTTTCATGTGAACAACATGGCATTAATATTGCCCCTCTACCTGCCTGTTCCTCCCACTTGCAGAGCCTCGGAGGAGGAGGCAAATCCACAGTGTTCTTTTTTCTCCCCGTCAGAGCACCTGGCGTCGAGTATGTGTTGAGCTGTGCTGTCTGGAGAGTGGGCTGTGCCAAGGAAACTGAGAGTTCTTTAGTGCATGTATTCCTTTTCCTGGGACCCAAAGGCAAAGGTGGGTCACTGTGCAGGAGAGGGGCCCAGCTGGGGACAGGGGAACAAGGAAGGTGACAGGGAAACCTGTGTGTGTGTGTGTCTGGGATGGGGTGGGGGGTGTTTGTCATTGCCCAGCCCACACACAGAGAAATGGCTTCTGCCCTGGAAAGGTTAAGGGACCTGCAGAAGGCAGGAAGTGAGCAGCAGCTGGGTGGAGGGGAAGGTGTGGTGTGTGTGCAGCAAGGGCACCTGTGACCGCCACTTCCTCCATCCCACCCCCCTTGCCCTAGGCAACCCCTCCTGGCTGCTGTGAGACCCTGGCCGCAGGAGTGATCGCTGCCCAGAGGCGTGGAGGTGCTGAGGCAGAGGCCACAGGGCCTGGGAGCTTCTCCTTCTTACCCACCAGGCTCAGCAGTGGAGGGGGAGGGAAGGTGAGGAGGCAGAGCCCTCTGCCCAGGGGGAGGAGAACACCTGCAGAGTCCTTTCTGGAGCTGGTCTGTGCGGGGGCTGGAGGAGCCTGGGACTGCAGCCCCCGGGAGGAGAGACCAGCCGTCCGTCTGGGGGTTTGGCTCGCTGGCCCAGCGCCATGGGAGGTCTCCAAGGACTGGGTCAGAGGTCACCTTCAGGGAGCCTCAGTCTGATCTGTCTCCCTTACCTTCTCTCTGAACTGGGAGGCAGTGGGAGGATATGGGAGAGAAGAGGGAACGAGGACACGAGGTTAGCTAGGCAGAGAAGGACAGAGACACCTTATGTCAATAAAGGTTTGGTGACCCGAGTGATTTCACGTGTGTGCTTCTCTTTTACTATCACAACCATGGCTGGTGGACAAGTCAGAGATTATCAGCTCACACCAGGGCAGATCCAGGGACTGGAACTGAGTTTTCACCTGCACACATCGTCCCCAAAGGGCTGGCTCTCCACTGGGGAGCTCTTAGGGGTGAGAAGTTGGCAGAGATCCCAAGATAGCCACTGGCTGCACAAGTGATGGCATCCCTGGAGGAAGCTGGTGCCAGCCCCCAGTTGTGGCCACAGCTTGCCCAGGAAGGAGTTAGGAAAGCCACTCTGACAAAAGGAAGGAAGGAGCCCTTCCAGAACCATCCCGCTCCCACACACAAGCAGATGCCCGGCCCTGCAGAGGCCGGCCTTACAGGAGCGAAGGCAGTGGTGCTCAAGTCCTGCCCCAGGTGCTCCTGTCCAGCTGCCTGACCCACTGACACGGGCTGAGTTACCCAGCGTCCCCGTCAGCGTGTTTTCTTTCCTTGCACCTCTCACCTTTCCCCCAGGAGCCCTTAAGAAACAGGTGGGCCTGGCCCAGAGAAGTGAATGATCCCTGACCCATGAAGGCATTTCTCGGCTTTTCCCAGCGTGAGCTCAGGTGTGGGTGTGTGAGGACCCGGGACACCCCACCTGGCCCCCTCTCCAGCCCCGCCCAGCCCCGCAGGGACTGCAGTCTCTGCTCTGTCCTCATCTCCCCCACCAGCTCAGCCTCATTACCCCCGACCTTATCTTGCATTTCCTCCCAGCACAGAGGAGGGACTCTGACCTCTGCCCTTCTTTCCCCAGGCCGCAGTCAAAGCCAGTCCTCAGGGGCTGCACCACCATTCTTACCAGAGCCAAAACTTTGTCAATAAAACACTTTGTAAACAGCTGGGAGGGGACATATTTTTAAAGTCCAGTGAAGCCCTGGGAGAACAAAACCTGCCACCTCCCTGGCCCTGCCTGTGAGGCACACAGGGGGTACCAGCCCTTTCTGCATTCTGTGCTGTGAAGTGATGGGGAAGGGGACAGGGGCGGTGGGGTGACCACTTGGGGTGCCCAAGAATCCCTGGCGCAGGAACAGCAGCATTCTTCTACTGTCCCCCCTCCCTGCCCCTGGAGCCCTGTGAGGGCATGGCCCTGTCTGTGTGCGGTGGCAGCTGAGGGCCGAGGTGGAATCCTGCAGAGGGCCTGGAACTGCCCGGCTGAGGGTGCCTCACACCAGAGTTCAGAGTATTCTGGGGTCTTCCCTCCTGTTCTCCTCCCTCATAATAGCCCACGTCTCTGTGTCTCAGTGTCGGTCTCCCCCTCCTCCCTCTCCCCCACCTCTGTCCCTCTCTCTCACACACACAGAAGTACATTTAAACTGAGAAAATCTCCCAGCAATCGCTCGTATTTACATTGGTTTTTGTCTTTTTCAAAGTGCTTCTGCCCATGTTATGCATCATCTTTACTTCCTACAACCCCGCTCAAAGGGAGATATTTTTTACCACCTTGGATAGGTAGAAGAAACCTTAAGTATGGCCAGTAGGAGAACTTAGGATAAAAACAGGTCAATCATAGATTCAACTAGTGAGTATTTATTGGTGCCACATTGTACCAGGATTTGTGCCCAATACTGAGAACATGACGATGAATAAGAAGGTGCCACCTTTGCCCTCCAGAGCTAACAGGCCACAGAGGAAGACAGGCATCTACACAAGCAAGTTCAACAAAGTGCGGGATGTGTACAAAGCAAATATAGGTGGTCTGGAAACAGAGCAGGTGGCCTCTAACTTAACCTGTGGGTCAGGACCCCTACCCCTGTCCCCTTCTCCCAACACACACACACACACACACACACGCACGCACGCACACACATGCACGCACACAGCCAACGTATGATTGTTAAGTGGAGACCAACATGATGAAAAGAAGTTACAATGATGGACGGGTGAATGCTGTGCAGAGAAGTAACAAGGCCTGGAAATGTGAGGCCCCAGAAGAAGGAAAACATAGCTCTACCCAGGAAGTAATGGTAATACAGCTTGGCGAGTGGAGTGCGAGAGGAGGGGCGTGAGGAGGCTGCCAAGGTGGCCAGGGGCTGACAGACGGCCTCCGGAAGACCATGGCTGGAGGCAGGAGTTGGATCTCACAGAGATCATTCTGGCTGCAGTGTGAGCTATGGACTGGAGAAGACCAAGGTGCGTACACAGAGAGCAGCTAGAAACCGACTTCTGTACTGCAGGGGGGAGATGACAGTAGCCCATTCTAGAAGAATAGCAATGGGGCTTGGAAAGGTAGAGAAAAATGAAAGATAGTTTCATTTTACATTGGTATGGAACAGTTGTCAGAATGCATTGAGTGAAAAAAGGTTATTCTAATAAACTGTGCTATTATATGTGTCTTTAAGAGGGATTTATACATACACATGCTTGGATAATGCATAGAGGATTATGGGAAGGATAAATAACCAACTTTTCTTAGTGTGTGCCCCTGGGGAGAATGCTGCCAGGGCTGGGACAGATGGGAAGGCTTTTTCCCTGGGTCTTGTGGCCTCTTTGAATTTTGTACTATGTGATGTATTATCTAACTGAAATTACTCCTTTTTCAAAGGAGATATCTTAAGGCACAGAATCCACAAGACTTGAGGTTTATTGGATACAAGAGTTAGAAGAGACTTGCTAAGGAGAGGCCCAGGATTCTGGATTAGGTGGGTTTGCCTATTACTTGGTTAGTGGAGGAGCAGGTTTGGTAAGGAAAAAAATGCTGTTTGGTTTGGGACATGTTGAGTTGGAGGTGTCTCTTAAATACCCAGGCAGAAGCTACCCAACAGAGAGGCGTCCATGATGGGCAGGCCTGGAGCTCAGGAGACAGATCTGAACGGAAGATAGGGAGTGGGTAACCACGGCGCCAGGTGCACATTAATACAATCTGTAGAAGTAGGTGGGACTCCAGGGTGGTGAGGAAACAGCCTTGTGAACCAAAATATTTAAGGGATTGGTAGAAAGGACATAGACAGTGTGGTAGGAGTGTCTGGCTCTAGATGCACTGAGAGGTGGAGAGAGCTCGAGTATGATCTGAACGCTACAGAGAGCTCTAGTGAGAAGAGACTGCTCAGTGGGCTTAGCCACAGGGAGATGACCTTGATGAGAGCGATACCAGTAGAATGGAGAGGCGAGGTCAAGTCACAATGGGTGGAAGACTCAGTGTGAGGTCCGCAGACAATGGAGTCTTCTCCTAAGAAGTCTGGCCCTGAAGAGGGAGTAGAAAAGATATGTCAGTGGCTTAAAAGAGAGAGGACAAGGGAGGGCGTTTGCATTTCTTTGAAGAAGGGAAAGAATAGAATATGGTTCTTTGCTGCCTGTTAGAGCTAGTGGAGGCGGGGAGGTTGAGAAGAGTTAGAGGAGCCAGGATGGGCACAGCTTTCTGAAGGGCCAGAAAGGGACCTGGGTCAGGAAGGGGAGGAAGGGTTTCCATTGTGAAAGGAAATCAGGGGGTCCCAGTAACAGCTCTTTCCGGAACCATGCCCCCCAGGCACCAGTGTGGATGATGACGTGTGTGCCTCCATCACTGTTAAGGGATGTCCACCCCGTTCCGCCTCATCTGTGCTTTGCATGAGTATCCGGATGAGCCTGCCTGTGGCTTCACAATCCCACTCACCTTTTTCTATTCCAGACCACAGTACTCTTCAAAGTTACTATATATCACATACTATGGGCTGGGATGAGAAGTAAAAGGCTGGAGACCAGACAGAGGCTGTCTGCAGGCCCCGATCATGGGTGCCCTGGACACCTAGTGCCCAGTTTCTTCCTGAGATGGAAGGCCCATCCTCCACTATTGCTGTCACTCAACTCAGCCTCAGGACTAAGGGACAGGGTGTGGAGGATGGCTGCTGCCAGCTCAGAGTTTGCTACCTTCAGGCACAAAGATGATTAGCTGCTAATGAGCCATCTGAGGGACAGACCAGGGACAGTCCCATAAAAGCAATGATTGGGCCATTCAGGCACAGAAAGGCACCATGTGCCACACATTTTTAAAAGCACCAGGATGCAAATGAGATACAAACACTTCAGACTCTGAGCCTCAAAAAGCAAGGATAAAACAACTCAAAACAACAACAAAAAACCACCACAATTCATCCATGGGAAAAGGATTTGAATAGACTTTCTCTAAAAAGAGATATGCAAATATTCAATAAGCACATGATAGATGTCCGATTTCATTAGTCATTAGGGAAACAAATCAAAACCACAATGAGATACCACTTCATACCCACTAGGATGGCTATTATTTAAAAAAACAAAAACAAACAGTAACAAGAGTTGGTGAGAATGTGGAAAAAATGGAACCCTTGTGCATTGCTGAAGGAGATGTAAAATAGCACAGCCAATAAGGAAAATAGTATGGCGGTTCCTCAAAGAGTTAAACACAGATTGTTGTAAGATCCAGCAATTCCACTTCTAGGGGTATGTCCAAAGGAACTCAAAGCAGGAACTTGAACAGATATTTGTACACCAGTGTTCACAGCAGTATTTATTCACAACAGCCAAAAGATGGAAAGAACCCAATGTCCATCAATGGATGAATGAATAAACAAAACAGTGTGTGCTTACAATGGAACATCATTTGGCCTTTAAAAGGAAGGAAATTCTGAAACATGCTAGAACATGATGAATCTTGAAAGTATTATGCTTCGTGAAATCAGCCAGTCATGTAGGACTAATATTGTATGATTCCACTTACATGAGGTCGCCTATAGTAGTCAGATGCACAGACAGAAAGTTGAATATTGGTTGTCAGGGGCTCTGGGGAGGGGATGGTGGGAGTTACTACTTAGGAAAAGAGTGTCTGGGATGATGAAAAAGCTGTAGGTGGGTAGTGGTGATGGCTGTGTAGTCAGACACTGGAAGGTACTTAATGCTGCTGAATTGTATACCTAAAAATGGTAAATTTTGTTATGTGTATCCTACACACAATAAAATTTTTAAAAATAATAAAACAAGGTTAAAGAACCTTTCTTCTTGCACTTTTCTACGTGAGGTTTGGTTGCTAATGGGGGAGAATACTCCACAGGGGTACAGGAAAGGGAAGGACCACAACCTGACATCAGGCCTGACTCTCCCCACACTTGGCCCTGAGGAAGCAGGCAGGTGTTGCAGCTTAGTGCTTCCTAGGGTCTGCATGGGGCACCAAGAGAGACGATCCAGACACTAATCGAGCAGCCCTACCTCATGTCTTTGATGGGCAAGGCCAACTTTGCTTGAAAAGATATGTTCTTTTCCCAAAATGTGGAACTTGAGGAACCCAGAAGATGTGTGAGACAACAGAAGCCCATTGCTCATCTCCAGAAATGTTCATGGGAAGGGTGAGACAGGGCCTTTAAGAATTCTTCTGTCCACCCCCTCCCATGATTCACAGGTAGAAAGTCAGATACATGTGTAGGCAAGCGTCTCCCCCTCTGCCCCATCGCAGGCCCACCTAGAGTCTGGCCAACAGTAACAGGGTCCTAATCATATATGATAGACATCTTCCTCTCCATCCCCCTCACCAAGGTCCAGCCCAGGATTCAGGTGTCCCAGGGTGTTGCGACGAAGTATTTCCCAGCCCCGGTGACTGCTGCTGCTGTGGGATGTGGTCCGGGACAAGGAGGGAGTTGGAGGAGCTAAGGATGCTCTGGCTAGAGTCCCACTTTCAACCACAGAGGGCTGTTTCTCCGAGAGACACTCCTGTCCATCCTCCTTGTCCGAGCACTTGAAGGCTTCCACATAACGAAGCACTCGTAAAGGATTCTGGTCATGGTGGTTCTCGACTCTGAGCAGGGGAAAGAAGAAAGGACTCAGTGAGGTGGGAGAGATGGACCGTGGGAGGAAGTCGAGGTGAATGGGGCACATGTAGCAAACAGGATCAAGAGCTGAGGGGAAGAGGGACTGAAGCCAATGCAGGAAGAGCATCCAGGCTCAGTGAAGGTCAGGTGCTGGAAGGGGGTGTGCACTGGGCTAGAGACCCCCCGAGGTAAGTGGCCAGGATCTGGAGGGTAGCAGTGCTCCTGTGTGTGATGGTGGGGGGACTGGGTGAAGATGCAAGAGAAAATGGTCAGTTAACAGATAAAGATGTCATGAGGATAAAGAGATGCAATTGAGGAAATAAATGAGAGGAGAGCCAGGTCAGGAGCTGAAGGTAGAGCAGGAAAGAGGAGGTTGACTTCAAGGCAAGAATAAACTAGAAATGGGGGTCAGGTGGCATCAAGACTAGAAGGAGTTGGGTAACCCGTACTCAGATGTGTTTCATATACACAGCCGCTCACACACAGCTGCTCTGAGGTACTCCTGGCCTGATGCACCCTCCGCCCTGATGCGCTCCCAGCCCTGATGTGCTCCCAGCCTGGTGCCAGCCACCAGCATCCTTCCGTCCCTCCACTTCAGCTCCATCCTCCTCCCCTAAGGAGGTGAACACGTCTCACTTTATAGAGTGATGCTTTCTCCCTTGGGTACAATTTGGGATCTCCAGAAGGAGAAGAGGAGGATACACGTGGAACTGATGCCCCTTGCTCCGCGGCCTCACACCCAGCACAGCCCCCACACATACTGTCACTCACCGCAGGAACCAGTGGTCCCCCAGCCCATAGGCTTTCCCGCAGATCCCAGACCGAGGCCACAGGAAGCAAGGCAGCTTCCTCTCCAGCATCACCGTGGTGGCCACCACCTAGAAGGAGGCCAGAAGGCCGTGAGGGTCAGGGAGCACTGGAGGCCGCCCACAGAGGGAACTAAAAGGAGCCTGTGGGATGATGACAGCAGAGATGAGTGGAGATGGCGGCCATTGCCCATCCCCTGTGCCAGGCACCATGCGGCCTGCCTTCCTCATCATTCACCAAAAAGGAGAGAGAATGTGTTGAGGGTTTTGAATGAAACAGTGACCCTTACATTACTATTCAGATTCATGGAAAATGAGTCATTCCAAACTAATCTCATTTGCTTTTTCATAAGGAAAGCCACAGACCAATGACTCTAATTTAAATGAAATGATTTAATAGAATCTCTGTGTTCTTGGGGACCGAATGATGCTGCTAGAGTTCAGAGAATTTGCAGCAAATTAAACACCCCATATCCCAAGAAAGAAAAGAGTAGGTTAATGACTACCACTTGGCAGGGAAAATTCTAGTGGCAGGTCACATATTCTGTCCTTTGCCTCATTAATTATTTAAATGAAACAGAAGAAAAGCTTATCAAACAGGCTTGTGACAAAACTGGGAGGGGTATATAATACATGAGGTGACAGGAGCGATGTAAAGATGACCTCACCAGGCCGGAATGCTAGTCCGGAATAGCTGTGACATGAAGTGTAAGGAAACTAAGTGGAAGGTCCTAGATTGACATTTAAAACTAAAGTATCTGTACTGAGTGTAGGAAAACAGTAAAGGGGCTTAGCTATTTAAGTCACATAACCAAGATGCTGGGGTTCTAGTTGGTCATAAGCTTAATAAGGGCCAACTGTATATCTGCTCCGAGACCTGACTTGCCTTAGAGGCTCTTTACAGCACAGTGTCTAGGGCAGGACCCTCACTGCGTTGCTGTCCTCCCACCTATCAGGATCATGCTAGCTTAGAAAGGGCTCCAATCTGTTAGGGCATGAATAGAAGGCACAGTCAAGTTGGACTGGGCCCAGGGAGCTTTATTAAAAGAAGGAACCAGTATTCCTGAAAGGGTCCCAGTGCTCCATGTCTTGCCCCTGTCTTCCCCTCCCTCGCTGCCGCCTTAGGGGCCCAGTCCCCTAGGCATTCTCTGGATTTCTGAGTTGCACCAAATTCCCTTGAACTTCAAGACTTTGAATTATTTATTCTGTTTCCCTGGATAGGTCTTCTTCTTTATCTTGAATGTGTATTGTGTCTCCTTGTGCCCTCAGTGTCTCCAGCTCCTTCTGGTAACAGAACCCACCTTTTATTTAGGGACCCGTTCCTTCACCGCTCTTGGTCCACTGGTTGGAGCAGACTGGGCTGCACACAGCCCTGGTTAATCAGTCCGTTCTCCTCCAAACCCCACCACCACCAACACCACTCTGCAGTCCTGGGCATCATCCCTGACTTCAAGGATGCACCCATGACTCACACTTGATGCAGTGAGAAGGAACTCAGGCTGGGTTCACTGGAGGAAAGATGCTCTTTTAAAGGCTGCATTTTTCCACGGCATCAGGAGACACCCAGGATACCACACGAATGGAGCCCTTGGAGTTGGGCAGTGCAGTGTACCTGCACATTCCTTTTGGAGTCTGGAGCTTCTAGAAGATAGCTCACCAATACGCCAGGAGAGTTTGACTTACAAGAGAGCCTGGACAAAAGATGGCAGAGCAAAGCAACTGATGTCATGTGTGACCTGGAGATCTGGGCTCTGGCCAGACATGCCTAGAATTTAATTTTAAACTCTCTAGTTATGAGGACCAACACATCCTCTTCCCAATGCCTTCTTTAAAGAAGTCTATTTGAGTTTGGTTTTCTGTCCCTGTAGCCAAGAGTCTTGATTGAAGCAAACTCTCATCTCCACCCTCATTCTTCTTAACTGGCTAAGTCTTACTCATATTTAGAGGCTCATCCTAAACGTCACTCCATCAGGAAAGCACCTGCCCACTCTCCAGGCAGACCCCTCTGTTGTATCCCTTTCTTAGCATCTTCTACTTCTCTGTGACGCTTTCCCTGCTGCCATTGTACAGCTTTCTGTGAAGTCCTTTGTTTAATGTCTGTCTTCCCAAAAAGACTGTAAGCTTCATGAGGGCATAGATTGCAGGCTTGTGTCCCCAGCTCCCAGACATTTCCAACACATAGCGGGCTCTAAATATTATTGTTCAATGAATGGAACATCTGAGGGCATCAGTGATGGCTATATTAAAATATTTGAATGCAGCTCATATGGCAGAATGTGTACCGTATTATATGAGAAAAAAGACTGGGGCCAAAGAAAGGAATCAAAGATAGGTTTAGCTCAATGTAACATGGACCTTTCTAATAACAAAAACTTTTGAAAAATGAAAACCTCTCTTCCTCCCAACCACTACCCAAATACACTTGATAATAAGGTCCTCATCAGCATGAAAGAAGATATGGAATGACCCTCTGACAATAAATGAGTATTCTTGAGTAGGAATTCAGCCAGAGGACCACTAAAGGTACTTACTACTCTATAATGTTATTAGCAAATTATTACATAAAGAACAGATCATACAGAAACAGGGAGTTACAGAAGCAAATAGAAAATAAAGTCCAAATTAAAAACTGGAACATATAAGAAGTTTCTATTCCCACCAGACTCAAGAATAGCCTCTGGAGCTACTTCTCCCCTGTGATCAACATCCCCGGCTCTTGGGTGGTGATCCTACCCCTGTCCTACCATGTTACCCTGCAATTTCCCCCCTCTATGCCTCCAGATGCTCCTCTGTTGAGGTGACAGTCCCACTGGGTTGTTTTATGACTCTCCTAAGAGTATCAACTGTAACATATTCCACTTTGAATTTTGTCTCCATTTCCTGCCCTTTCGAACGACTAATACTAAGAAACTCACCTGGGCCCTCCATAGCTCGTCCTGCTCGTGGGCCACCCTCCAGTGTGTGTCACCCATCATGGCGATGAACAGGTTGAGCATAAGCAGTGTGGCAATGATGGCAAAGACAAAGTAGACAATGCCAAACGTGAAGGGCAAGTTCACATTGTAGTTGGCGGGCCCATCGATGATGCTGAGGAAAAGCTCGAAGGTGCTGAACAGAGCCATGGGGTAGTCATAGAAATTCCCCAGATTGGTGGGGTCCTCCGTCTGGAAAATGATATAGAATGCTGCCCCACCCAGGAGGAGGGCACGGAGATGGGAAAACACATTGTTAACAAACAAGCATGGACCTGGTCAGTGCTCGTGCATTCACTTTACCTCCAACATGTATCTCCATACAGTGAAGACACACATACACACCCCTAAATGTAAATGTGTATGCATACATGTACGTCACATTTTACCTGTGGACCTGGCTAACCCTGAGACATCCTATGACCAAATCCATCACTCTTGATAATGGTAATACTCAGCCATTTATAAAAATTTATATATATATACACACACACACACACACACATATGTGTATATATGTATATGTAAAATAAATCACCAAACTGGTTTTTATATTTTAGAAAATCAAATATTTAAGAGGCAGGTAACTACAAGAATGCATGGAATCTCCAACAATTTTAAAGAACTGAGCACACGGAAAGGCTAAAAAACAAAAGCACCTTTCAAAAAGTCTGAATGCCCTGCAGATAACCATCCGTCACTCTAAGATTCCCTGGGTGAGTTTGGACCATCATGGAAAGTTTTCCCTGCTCAATGTCTAGCCTACTAGATGGTACTGGGCATCCTCAAACATTTTTACAACATTTGAACCTTTACAAGACTCCTGTCTGTGTGGGGAACTCAAATATATACAAGGTGACTGCAAGAGTAGAAATAGGGTCTAGGAAAAGCGCTGTTTCTCATTTACTTAGGAAGAAAGCAAGTGCAACAATAAAGAAGAGACAATGTAGGTGATGTGGGTATAGGACCTCTACTGACAACCACTCTGTGAGCCCGAGCGCATTTTGTCATCTGCGTCCGTGTGGATGTGGGTGGGACAGAGGGCAGGTGTGGAGAAAGGGCATGTGAGGGGTACTCCCAACAGGAAGATTCCCTGTCAGAGTGCAGATCTTGGTACATTATTTTGCTCTACTCTTTTGCGGGATCCCCATACACAGGGGATTTCCTAAGACAAAGATATTGTCCTTTGCACTAAAAGCCATAGTCCTTTGGAGTTGGGGGTTCTCCAACTGTCATCCAAGACATCCCCTTGTCTAAGGACTCTCCCCGGACCTTCCTCCGCGCCCCACGCCCGTCCCCCCGCTGCCCTGGGGCTCTGGCTGGCTGCTCCTTTCTTCTTGTTCTTCTCCCTCCTCCTGGCACTCGCCCATGGGCTCCGAGTCCCAACTGCGTCTCGCTTCCTCTCTTTGCCAGCCTCTCTTCAGAACTCCTCTTCTGTGTTCCTCTCTCGCTCTTCAAACTTTCCAAACTTGTTTTCTGTACCTCCTTTTTTGAATTCTTTCCTTTTCTCTCAACTCTGACCACACATAGAAAAAAAAAAGGCATGCTATATGCCACCAAATGCTGTTTCTTCTTCTTTAGTGTGAACAGAGAAGAGCCCAATATCATCCCGTCTGTCTACAGAGTTTTCTGAGATCTGCAACTGGCCAGTCTTTCCTGTTTAATGTCCCTCTCTCTCCAAAGTCCTCTTTTCTCTCTCTCCTTTAAAGGTTGTGCAGGGCAGTGAGTCAACATGAATGTTATTCAAAGCACATGGGTCTACCTTCTGGGCCAGCCTGAATGACCCTGATCTGATGGACTTGAGTGTACTTTGAGACTCACTTTCCACCAGGGGAAAAGAAAGCAAAAGGGGGTGCAAATGAGAAGCCAAATGAGGACTGAGAGCAAGAGTGAGGGTGCTTTCTGGAGACCTGATCTGATGATCTGGCGGAGGGCAGAGTCGCACTCTTACCTGAGGCAAATCCCAGAATAACCACAACCATCAGCCAGCAGAAACGCATTAGGTCTCCAAAAATCATCTACAGGAAATAGCAGGGGAGGGAAGGAGGTGACCTTTCTCCCCCTGACCTCCAGCAGCACCGCTGGCAGAGAGAGGGCCCCATGGTGGCACTCTGGGCAGCTTTTCCCTCGCTCGCCCTCCCTCCCTCTATCTGGGAAGGTCCTGTGGCCGAAGCCAGAGAAACTGCTGGGGAAACACAGACCTTCTGGATCATGATGGTGAAGGGGCCCAGCATCTGGAATCCTCGAGCAAAGTACATGACGCTGCACCAGCCCAGCACCAGCGCGAAGGACATGGGCACCACCTCCCCAGGGGCACTGGAGAGGCGCATCACCATGGTCACCAGCACCAGGCAGGCGTGGGTGATGCTGGGGGAGAGCAGGGAGCAGAGAGTGAGAGGGGAAAATACCCTAGGTCTCCTCCGGCACTGCAGTGACTCGGGTGGTACCCCACGCTCAGACTTACTCCTTACACCTAAAATGCATGTATATTCACACATTCAAGCCCACTGGAGAGAAACCCCTGGAGGAGAGGGTCAGCTGAGGTCCCAGAGGGTGAACAGGAGACCCAGAACATGCATGGGCAAGGGAGGCAGGGGGTTGGAGGAAGGGTCACTCACATGATGACATGGAATGGCCCCCCGAGTACAGTCTGTCCGAAGTAGCGAGAGGCACCAACCCTGAAGATGTCTGGGATCTGAAAGAGGCCAGTGAAACAGAAAGACAATGTAGACTGCACTTCAGCCTGGAGCCTCAGGTGGACGACCTTAGCCTGCACCCCTCACCTCTAGCAGCAGGACGATCACAGCCCCAACGATGGTCACCAGCTCCCCCACTAGTCGGATTTTATCCTGTGGAGTCACGTAGGCCTCCTGCGGGAAGGAATTCAAGATAAGAAGTGCTTTCTGATGAGTCAAGAGTCAAATCCTTTAGGGCAAGTGGTCTAAAGCAAGTAAAGTTTATCCAAGATGAATAAAGGCCCCCCCTTAGCACCACCCTCATGACCCCCTTGCCCCCATTGTGTCTGTCACTGTGGCTAACTCTGTGACCAGGGCATTAGCCGGTGTATCAAAGCTTAATAAATGTTGCACATGCTACTAAGTTGAATTGCCACCTAGCAAGTTGTAAGCAGTAATTTATGTTGTGTGTACTGAGGGGAATTTACGTTGTATGTACTGAGGGGCCGAAATCACATTTTAGAGCGTCCAATTAAGAAGGCTAAAGCAACAGGAAGAGGTATTAGCGGCTTGGATGGTTTCCGCTATGCTGAGAGTCCAGCTTTCACAAACTCACTGGTTTCAGACAGGTAGAACAGACCATAAACATATCACAGGATTCGGGTCCCGGAGTGGGGCCAGAACCTGCCAGGTCTAGTAAAACCTGGAATCAGTCCCCTAACATCCCCGAGTTTGAGGTTTCTAATCTGTAAAATGGAGACTATAATGCCTACCTCTTAGGGCTGTTGTGAGATCAAATTGGATGACATATTTGGGTGTACTTTATATAAACAATAAAGCACTGTTGATGTATTCATTGTGTTTTTCTTATGATTTGGCAGTATAGAAAAGGCCAGGAAAGGGGCTAGAGATATGAAATGGATTTTAGTTCTAAGAAAGGGCCCCTGCCTTATCCTGAGCAGTAGGTATTGAAGGTATAGTCCTAAGGTTAAGATGAAAGAAGCCCATCCTTCTGCGCACATTATTTCACAGTGAAAGGCTCACACATTACATGGATGTAGTGAGAGGATCCTACAATCATAACCCTTAAGTTTTTTGAGGTCATGAACCCATCTGAGACTATCATAAAGACTATGGACCGTCTTCCCAGAAAACTATTCATTTATACACAATTCCCACAGGAAATTGTACAAATAATTTCAACACCTTCGGGTTCCCTTTAGACTTTTAGGAACTCTGTTCTCCAAGGTCACATCTCTGAATAGTGCACCCAAGAAAGTTGCTGAGAGTCCTGGGGGCCAGTGGGAAAGCTGATGATCTAAGCTAGGGAGGATGTGAGCTCTCCTTAGGCTTAAGGAATGTAAGTTATCTCTGATTTGCAGATAAACTGGAACCTCTCGTCACCCCTCTGCAGGTCCCTCCAGCAGCAGACCCACTGGCACAGCGAGAGGAATGGCTTTTGAAGTAGGAAGAGATGCTCTGTAGTGGGAGGCAATTTGTGGTATAAAAAAGGCCCCCACCAGGAGCCCCATGGTTGCCCAGAATGTGAGTGTCAGCTCAGAAGAGGCCAAGGAGGTAGGCTTCATGGAAGGGGAGGAACAGACTTACCAACAGATGGTGGAAATATTTCAGGCAAATCTTTTGGGATGAGAAGACACTGGGAAAAGGGTTGGCACCTATGCGCCTGGCGAACAATGTGATCTAACAACCTGTGACTCAACTTCAGTTACCTTGTTGTATAAAGAACTGATGTTCTGTAAATGTCTGTGATGTTTATCCCTTTTGGTAAGTTGGTGAATTTTATTTTATCATATAATGGGATATTTCCCTTCTGCTTTGCTTCTGAGGAGGCTCCAAGTTCTTTTTTTATCCTCAGTTCTAGCAACTATTGTTGAATCATCTCTCCTCTGTCCTGAAATTCAGTTATGGGCCTTGTTCTCTTTCTTTATCTTACTGTTCCTACAGCATCTGTCTTTAATTGTAAAACATTCCAATTCCTTTTGTGAATCAGGTAGTAAGTAGAAGTATAAATAATACATTAACCATAAAAATAAAATAACTTTAAATATAGAGATAAAGTAATTACATCTATGCCATGTATGTACTTTTAAAGTATGTACATCTATGTACAAAATTTTTTATTTCTTTTTAAAACTCTGTATCTTAGTTGCATATATCTGGAAAGCCAACCTTTCCCTGGCTCAACTAAGAACAGGAACTGTACAAGTTGGCCAGGAGAACCATGGGGATCAGAGAGGCACCCCTAAAGGACAGCAGGCAAGAGGCACCAGCCATTTCCTCAGAAGATGAAAAGGTAAAATTCCAGCGAATGGAGAACTTGACCACTCTATCTGACTACCTAAAGTGGGCACCTCCACAGCTCTGTCCCCAGAGGTCCTCTCCCTTAAATCAGCTGCAGGGTGCCACAATCTCCGGAGACCCCCTCCTTCCTTACTGTGCTCTGGGACCACCACACAGACCCTTGGGTAGAGTTTTTATTTGTTTGCTACTTTGTTTTTAACTGCTCTTTCTGGAAAACAAAAGGTAATATATGTGTGTAAAAATTGTAATAAAAATAATGATAATTCATAGAACTCACTAGCAAAAAATACCAAACAATCTAATTTAAGAATGATCAGAGCAACTGAATAGCCCCTTTCCAACGAAGAGACACAAATGGCCAACAGGTATATGAAAAGGGGCTCAGCATCACTATTCACTAGGAAAATGTCAATCAAAATCACAATGAAATATCACCTCACCCTGGAGAGAGAAAAAGACAAAAGATAACAAGTATTCATGAGGATGTGGAGAAAAGGGAAGCTTTGTGCACTATTCATAGGAATATAAATTGGTGCAGCCACTGCGGAAAAGAGTATGGAAGTTTCTCAAAAAATTAGAAGTAGAGCTACCATATGATCAAGCAATCCCACTTCTGGGTATATATACAGAGGAAATAAAAGCAGGGTCTCGAAGAAGTCTCTGCACACCTATACTCATTTGAGCATTATTTATAGTAGACAAGACATGGAAACAATCGAGTGACCATCAGCAAATTGATGGATAAAGATGATGAGGTACATGTACATAATGAATAATATTCAACCATGAGAAAGAAGGAAATTCTGCTATTTGTGACAACATGGAAGAAACTTGAAGGCATTTGTATGCTAAGTAAGATAAGAGAGAGACAGATATTGCATGGTATCACTTACATGTGGAACCATTTTTTAAAAAAAAGTCAGACTCCTAGAAACAGAGAGTAGGAAAGTGGTTGGCAGGACCAAGAGGTGGAAGAAATAGGGAGAGGTTGGTAAAAGGACACAAACTTTCAGCTATAAAATGAATAAGGTCTAAGGATCTAATGTAGAACTATGACTATGTTATATAATTGAAATTTGCTAAGAGAGTAGAACTTAATCATTCTCACACAAAAAGAGTCAAATATGTGAGGGGACACATGTATTAAAACTGGGTGGTGGGAACCCTATCACAGTGTATACACATATCAAATCATTGTGATGCATACTTCAAAAAATCTTACAATTTTATTTGTCAATATTAACTCAATAAAGCTGAAGAATATGGTACTGTAGGGTTTTTAAAATATTTTTCTTTTTTTTATTGTTAAGGGGAATTCTAGTGTTCACACTAATGAAAATGCTGGCTCTTGGTTTGGAATAGATACCCTTTTCAAAGTTGAGAAAGGTTACAGTGTTTTAACAATGGACAGGGTCACTGAATCTTAATGAACATTTTTTTATGTCTATTGAACCAATAGTAAGAATTCCCCCTTTAATTAGCCACCCTTGTTTCTCTAGAATTAAACTCTAAAACTGCTAATGAGTTTTTCTTTGAATTTTTTAGAATGTTATACGCTGGGGATTGTATTCAAGATTTTCTGTTGGTATTGCAAAGCTGATCCACAGCTTTCTAGATTTGTGGTCCTTACGAAAGGGTTTTGGGATCAATGTTATGGTTGGCAAAGTAAATTAGCAGAGACACACTTTCCAGATCCTGTTCATTCAGTCACCCATTTCTTTCTCAAATACCTTTGTTTTCCTCAATTCGCAGCACTAGCCTTAGCGTCTATCATCTCGTTTCTCATGCACCATTTCTCCCTCATTCAACCCACTCCCCGCCATGCTTCTGGACAGGTCTTTCTAAAATGCAACTACCATCATATGGCTTCTCTGTTTAATACCATCCCTGGCTCCCCAAAGTCTCCAGAATAAAAATGAAGGGAAGATGGGAGAGAGGGTCTTCTCTAAATCCTTATCACCATAGTTTAGTAGAGAATTTCTAAATTTAATTAATGAACAGAGATGGAAACATATCATTCCGCAGGTAGAGATGAAGACAGGATTGAAGACCTTGCAGAGGTAAAACTGGTGGCCTCCTGGGAAGAAGACATGGGGGAAGAGAACCAGCACGCTATTGCTCTTCACTGTACCTGCCATTTGATTTTTAATCATGGGTATTTATTCTTTTAATTAGAAGTGCTCATTGTGAGATAAAAACCCATCGCTACCAACATGACGTCCAAGACACTTGCTTTACTGGCTCCCAGTTCGTGTCCCATACTCTGTGTGAGCTCAGCCTCATTCCACTGTTGGGGTTCTTGGTTGTTAAGTAGGGATGGATTACAGTTCGTGTGAATGGTGCCGTATTCTTAGACTGCCTTCCTCCACCACATTTTTCTGGTTCAGTTTTATTTAGCCCTGCAGACTCAGGGCCCAGCACGCTCTCTGGGTCTCCTTCCCTGCCCCACCCCCACAGGGGGGTCAGTGTCTCTCCTGCAGGTCCAGGTGCTGCTCCACAGACAGCCCTCTCCCTGAGCACCACAATCATCTGAATGCTCCCAGTCTGTCCGATAATCTTAGAGCCCCCTGGGAGCAGGGACTTTTTATCCACAAAGCTCAATGTAGTAGATGCTCCATTAATTCAAAAGAAGGAAGGAGGGAAAGAGGCAGAGGGTGCCAGCTGATCAGGATCTGAAAGTCACAGAAGGAAAGTAAAGCAGTGGTGGTGGGGTGGGGGCCCCAGGAAGTAGGATTGGGGAAAAGATGGCAACAAATTGGGCTTCTCTGGGATTTCCAGATTCCTAGCTCAAGGTCACCTAAGCAGACTTGATTAATAATGCACTGAGAAAATACTCCATCCAACCCTGTTAAAAATAAATGTCTTCCAACAATGAGTGAAATGCTTCACAGCATTACATGGCTTGGCATTTCAGACATTGTCAACAGCCAAATCCCCTGCAGAGGCTGACCATTCATACTTCATTGAGAATGGGCCTATGGAGATTGTTCTCACTTACCAGCTGGCTGAGCTCAGGGCCTTGAAGGAAATGTCCAGAGGGTATGGACATAGCAGAGTAGTGTGCAGGACCGAGGGGGAGGGGGAAGCATGGGCCACCCCGAGGAAGTGGGAGGACTCCAGAACTTGTTAAACTTTCCTCCCCAAGACGGGGCTTGCAAAGAGGTGAAGTTCCCAGAAAGAGTCCTGCTGGGTTCCAATGGGGAGTTACTCTGATTCTCTAGACTGTGTGGGGTTCCTAGTCAGGGCTGCCCATCAAAATCAACCTGGAAGTTTTTGTCATGGCCCACATGCCCAGGCCAACCCTGGGGCTTCTAATTCAATTAGTTTGAAGCAGGCACCTGGCATCTTCTTTTTTAGCTGTAGGTATTTCTGCCACATATCCAAAGTTGAGAACCACTGGGCCAAGAAGAGAGGGTGATCTGGTCCCCATCTAAGGCTGCCTTCCAAGAGTTTACTTCATGTCCTGGTGTCTGTATTTTCTCAGGAGGATTAATTTGGGAAAAAACTACTCCCTACAGAGGAATTCTCCCCATTCCCACTGAAGTATGACTTACCCTAGAAACTGACAGGTTAACCACCTCAAAAACAGGGGCCCTTTATCCAAACTAGCAATCAGACAGAACTCAGTAGCTGGAAGAGGGAGGCACTTCCATATCTGCCTCCTGCCCGACACCCCAGTGTCCCTCATTGGGACAGGGAAAGACTAGGTATAGCCAAAGGTGAGTGTGGCAAGCCCTGGCTAGCTCTCAAAGCCTGGAGACATGGATTTCTCGCTTTTTACTAATCCTTTTCACCTTTAACTCATCCCCAGATCTCGGCTCAGTATTCTTCCTCAGGGAAGCCTTTGCTGGCCTCAGAGTGCCCAGAGGCCCTTATAATAAGCTCTTAGCATCCTGTCCTTTTTCTTACAAAAGGAACAAATAATGTGAATTGTAACAGTAACACTGCCAGTCTGTAAACTCCAAAAGGGCAGAGATCACATGTTCTGCTCAGACCATGTTGAATTTCCAACCTAGAACTCTTCCAACACCTAGGCTCTATGGGTTCTTGGTGATGACTTGCCTAATGAATGAATTAGTGAAATGTTTTTGGGAAAGGGGCAGAGGTGAAAGCAAGAAAATCTTTAAGAGACAAAAAGGAAATCAGCTGATAAGAGATCAATACTCTCTGATGGCCCAGTTCATCTGGAATCTAAATGAGCAGAGTGACCAACTCAAGACTGGAAAGTTGTTGCCTAGTTGATCAGAAAGACGGAAGCCAGGAGTTCTCAGCCCTGCTGAATATTAGGATCACTCAGAAGGTTTCTTAAAAATACCAGTGCCAGGGCCTCAGCTTCAGACATTCTGATTTATTAGGTGTGGCATAGCTTAGGAACCAGTATTTTTACCAACTTCCGATGCTTCTAATGTACAGTCTTGGTTAACTACCACCAATCTAGCAAGAGGTTGGATCTGCTCAAGGTCAAAACACTATTTGGTTGCAGAGTTAGGGCTAAAACCCAAGGCACCTGACTCCCAGTTGAGACTTCTGCTCACCTAGAATCCTCAGAGGACTGTAGTTCATGTACTACATGTGGCCTGAGCCAAGCAGACCCTGGGTGGGGATAGGAAATTAACTCTAACTAATTAATAGAGTTCTTGGAAAACTCTGAAAGGGCATAACTTTCATGACCAAACAATGAGGCATCTTAGAGTGAAAAACCCATTAAAATAGATACCAAACTGGATGGAGACACATTAATGCCATCCTCATATGTCTGCTTTTGTGTAGTTTGTGCCACCTCATATAAATAGATGAGTTTTTTCTTTCATTTCAAGTGCTCTGAGGTGGTATCACTGTGCTGCCCTCACAGAGCCCAGTGATTCTCCAGATCCTGGAAGATTCACAGGGGGAATCCTACAGTGACTTCAGGGCTCTGTGTAGCCAGCTTTATTAATATAATTGGATATTAAAGTATTCATTCATCCAAGAAAAAGTTCCACGGGTTTACTATTATGGCAACAATTGCATTAATCAAGTCAAGACACTTGGTGGATTTTCATTTTTCTAAGACTTTCAGGTAATAAAAAGTGTAGAGAAAAAGAGAATCTCCTGTTGTTTAATAAGTCATGAGAGAAGAATCTTTCAAATCATGGTGATAAGTTTGGGAACCCATGATCACGTCCTCATTGATTTACTACTGAATAATAGGAACACAGATAATCCATAAACTCAAGACCAAGGCTCAAGGGCTAATGCAACGAACAGAGCTCTTTTGTTGGCGTTCTTCACCGTCCAAACCCCTTAACACAGCATTCCTAACCCCTACTCCACCTCCTGCACCAAAAAAGCATATGTGAAAGTCAAGAGCTCAATTTGGACCAAAGCAGCTCTTAACTAGGTGGAAGGCAAAAGGGTAAAAGTGCTAAAGGGGCAAAGGAAGGAGAGAGGGAAGGTGCAATCAGGCTTTAGTTCGTTCTGAGCCAAGGGGAGGGCATCTTTCAAATATAAACAAGACCATCAGGGCCAAAAGACCATGTTCTCTTCCCTAAAGAGAAGCAGACACATAGGGAAAAGACTTACCGGTTATCAGTTGCTCAGCATCACCCAGCTCTTAGTCCAGAAAGCTATGTATATTCTAAGTCCCCAAAATTCCCAAGTTTGAGACCAAAAGGAGAAAGAATGCATCTGAGAAATAGAGCCAAGAACATTGGAAAAGTCCCACCACTCTCAATTCATTTGTGTTTATACATTTTCCCCATTTCTGGTTACTTGCCTGTCCCAGTTGACTGTCTCCTAAATGTCCTTATTGTGTGGCCTCCACCCAAGGCAGCCTTCATGCCCAGCGTGAGATGCATGGAGCACAGCTGCCCCGAGCACCCCTGTGCCCGTTCTAACGAGGTGGCCCCACCACACCCAGGCGTGTCCTCTGCAGGCAGCAAACGCTACTCTGTGAGAAAATGGCTCTGGGTGCTCAGCACACTGTGTATATGTTTAGAGGCAGTTACAGAAGCAGAGATGGAGTGTCCTGAACTGCTTCAGGGTCTAAGCAAGGCTCTCCGCTCTGTTCCTTCTCTGCGCCTACCACTGTCTTCCGTCTAACTTCACTCAGCATTTTTGATCCTCAGTGAGGCAGGCAGTTTATATTCTCTTTCTGACTCAAGCTACCCCTTTTCCTAGTCTGAGCTGAGCTACGCCTGTGGCTAGTCCACCTGCAGGAAGCACAAACTCATCACCCATCTGCTACTTGCCAAACAAAATTCTTCTTCCTCTTTGTTTTGCTTCCTGCCTACATGCCCGCATTCCCTTTTGGCTATTTTCAGGTCACCAGGACAAACATGTTTGTGACCTATGAACAAATAGGCCAACCCAGTGTAGCTATACTTGTTGAATGTATATGCCTAGAAGCATCCATTAGAGTCCAGTTATTCTGTTACACAGGGAGGGTCAGCTCCCTTTGACCTCAGGCTTACTTCTACGCCACCCCTCTGCTCAGCCATCCTCTCCACGCCAGGTTTCTGAAGGAAACCAAAGAGTACAAGGCCACAAAAGCAAAAGGGACTGTGGAGATTACTTACCTCCACCTGCTCCTGCTCCAGGTATCCTCCAAAGTGGGTCTGACAGCTGGTCAGGCAGCTGACACATCATTGCCAATGGGCTCATATTGACAGTACACAGAAGACAGTGTGGGCCACAGGGGTATCTGTGGTGCCCCAACAGATCAGAAAAGAACTTAGAAGTGGACGTGGAGCACAGCTTTCCTCCCTTTGGAACAAGCTTTCCCTTTAGGTTCACATTACTGGTTTTTATGTAAATCCTCAGGAATTTTACAAACGTGTGGTGTTTGTAAGGATTCTTTCAAAGTTAACGAGAAAAGCCACAGCTGTGGACGAGTGCACATTGACTTATTAAGAGCCCGGCCTGGTAGCCTCTCTCATGCCTAATTTCTGCCTGGGTGGTCAGCAGCCTGCAGTTGCTGGAGCCCGGTACCCCAGCGCCATCTCCCAGGCTACCCTTCCCTCCCATCCCCTCTGGGGAGAGGCACCTGTAGCAGTTTCTGTTCGAGGATGGTACTATCTCGCGGATTTGTGCGGTTGCCACTGCGTAACTTCAGGGGGCGGTAGGCACAGCACGTGGTGAAACAGATCATGTAGAGCGCGTACAGGGCGCCCAGCACACAGAAATACGGCCGCCCATGTTTCTTCCACTTCTGATTCACCAGCTGCTTCACTGGGGTTTGTTTCAGGATCTGGCGAGCCTGCCACGGAAGGAGAGTGCAGTTTGGGGTGACCAGCACAGTGAGGAGCGCGGCTTTCCCGCCGCGTCCCAGAGGGAGAGCAATGGCCCGCTCTAGCATCATTCATGCAGCTAGATCGCCATGTCTTTTACAGACAACTAGTAAATTTCTCCTGTGTGCTAAGCCCTGAGCTAGTGTGGCAGATAAACTATTGCAGAAGTAAAGACAAGGCGCCACTGACGCTTTGAAGGATGGATAATGGTTAGTGAGTTAGAGAATATTGCTCCACGAAGTAGCAGCAGCTGCCACGGCCGGAAGGTATGAGAAGCCACTGGGAATGAGGTGTGGACAGGAGACTGCGGAACCTGCTGGGAGTAGTGGGCAGGAGTTACAACCCAGGAAGTCACTAAGGGCCAATCATCGTGCATTGTGAATGCCAAGATGGGGAGTTTGAACCACTCTCTGAATGCACTGGGAAGCACTTGGAAGTAGTCATATTTGCTCTAGAAGCATTGTGGGGTGGAGAGGAGCAATAGAGGGCATAGGTGGCAGGATGTGACCATAATCTAAGCCAGGTGGGTTGGTACTCTGGGGTAAGCAGACGGTGAGAAGTTAAAGATACTGATGAGAGAGGAGGGTGGATGGGATGAGGCATGGGAAAGTAGGAAAAGACAAATATTCAAAGTGCAGCTGGAAGGACTATTAGCCAAAAGAGTATCTTTTCCCCTAAACCTACTGGGAAGGGCAGACATCAGGCACTTTACAGATATGCTTGGCACATCAGGGCAGGAAGCTGAAGGAGTTCCAGCCAGAAAGCCTCTGTTTTTGCCATAATGTAGGAGTCTGGGTTGTGGGTTGGAACGAAAAGGCAGTAAGTGATACAGAAGGGGCTAGAAAGGAATTCTGAGGGAATAGAAAAGGAACTGACCAACCAAGAGTAAAGCCTGTGGGAGAACATGAGAGCTAGCTGAAACCGGAGGTCAGCACACATGGTGGCCTAGTCAACACAGAGGGACTGGGGTTCTCATTCCCAGGAAATCCTTCTCAAAGCTTATCTGTTTCCAGGCATAGTCTCCGGGAAGATCACAAAAACTGGCCACTCAAGTTTTCTACTACTCATTAGTGCTGACAAACATCCGAGTTTTATGGCTCTGGGGCTCCTAGGAAATTGCCATGTGGCAGATAAACAACAGAAACGCTATCTTGCCACTATCTCGGAGGTTTCTGAAGGCCTGCAGCATTTTCTCCTCTCTACCACAGTCTGCAAAGGGCTTCCTTTCCTTCACATCCCTCCTTCAGCACTGTCTGACTGACCCACGTGTTCGCCCCTCTCTGGAAACCCTTCTTCTGTGGTATCTTCTCTGGCCCATCCAGGGCAAGTTCACTTGACCTCCGTTTTTGCCACACTGCATAGTACAGACCCCTGTGATGCATGGAGATAGGAAATTGACTCTATACATTGTTGTACTCTCCTGCAATGATCAAGGACAAGGACTAGAATCTGAGGAAGCTAACTGACAGGACTATGTTTATTTATTCCTGTGTTCTCAGTTCCTCGTACAGTGTCGGAGCACCTTCACTTGATATGCTGAATGAATGAATGAATGAATGATAGGATGCGACTTCCGTTTGGAGACTTCCTTCACAGAGATGTTGGCGTGAGAAAGGTAAGTGGAAGGGAGAGAACAGCTGGGAAAGGGGAGCTGATTGGACTTTTCTCCTGAAGCCTCAAAATTCTGTCTTCATCTCCGTCTATTAGAAGGAGCCCAGGGTCTGAGCACATCGACAGCGACACCTGACAGCCCTGCATGCTGCATGGCTTCCATACCTCCCGCTTCCTGGAGGAGACCACGAGCTCCAGAAAGGACACCTTCTCTCCCCAGGAGTCGATTTCTGTGAGGTCGTAGAGAGTGGAGGTCAGTGGCCCGCACGTCCACTGGATGTGCTTCCGCTTCTGCATCAGGTGCTGGAACATCTGAGAGAGCACGGCGGTGAGCAGAGGGTCAGTGCAGGACAGCCGGCAAAGGGACACCATGTCCAAAGAGGGCTGCCGCCCACTCCTCAGGGCTCCAGACAGTCAGGAATTGGCAAACCTCTGATACATGAAACTCCATTTTTTCTGGTTGTCTTTCCTTTCCACAAACCTTATAAAGATCTGAACGAAGGGAATAGGCAGAGGGGGCAGAACCTTGGATTACAGAGTAAGTTTTCTAGGGTGTGAGTCTCGGCACTCCTGAGCCAGGGATTCCTGAGGCGGACATGGAGTGGGAAGTAAGGGGCCACCTCCCTTTGGGGAAGTTTGGGAGGAAGGGTCATGAGAGGGACAGCACGGGGTTGGGGGCCCTCACCACGGTGTTGCCCTCCACGCCGGCCAGCTTGAAGGGGGTGAGACCCTGGTGGTTGGGCACGAGGTCCAGGGCTGGCAGGCAGGCCCCGTGCCCATCGTGGGACAGCAGCAGGTTGTACATCTGGCAGGCAAATGTTTTGTTGGGCTGGAGGACCAGGATGTGCAGCACAGTGTTTCCTGGGAGAGGACACGGGTGTCACCTGGCCCCCAGACCAAAGTCCCTGGAGCTCCCGATGCCCACCCCAGGGGTGCCTGGGGGCTGTCCCCGTTCCTCCCCTCCCAGCCCCGCTCTTACCCAGGGAGTCCTGGGCCCGGATGTCAGCTCCGTGCTCAATGAGCAGCCGCACGATCTCCTCGCTGCCCACGCAGGCAGCAAAGGACAGAGGGTGCTCCCCTGGGGACAAGAGGGCTCCATGGCCTGAGTGCGGGGTGAGATGGGTTGTCTCCCCGAGCGACCGCCTCTTCCCCCATCTTGGCCCTGGGCTTGGGGACCGTTGTCAGCAGAGGCAGAGGCAGGTGTGGTGCAGAGGGTCAGCGGGGGTCGTGTCTGGCCTGAAGTCCCGAGAGGCTGGCCCCTCCCAGGTGCCCTGGGGCTGGAGTTCTGCTCAACCCCCCCCACCTTTGCTCTCTCCCCCCTCTCCCCCGGCCTCTCCCAGCCCTGGCCCTGGCCCGAGCCCTCACCAAAGTAGATGAGGTTGCGGGCGCTGTGGCGGAAAGCTGCGCCTGTAGCTCTTGCAGAGACGCTGGCCCCGTGGGCAAGCAGGGCTTTCACCAAGTTCACGTTCTGGTTCATGATGGCTATGTGCAGCGCAGTCTGACCTGGCTCGGAGACAGCCCTCAGTCACGGGGTCTGTCCCTAATTCTCTCCGGGGCACATTGCCAGTGGGACTGAGGGCAGTTAGTCCCGCCAGCTGTCCACCTCATTGTCCCTACCTCTTGGCTACTGGGGGAGTGGGGTGTAAATGTAACCACTCTGTGTTGTTAGGAGAGAAAGAAATGGAGTTCTTCCCTTCAGGGAACATGAGAGGAATTCAAAGAAATAATAAGTGGCTAAAAGGAGGCACAGACACTAACGGCCCAAACCAGAATCTTTGCATTCCTCCCAACTCAAGGGCAACCTTTATGAACCCTCCATCACTCCTGCTGCAACTCACCCTTCAGAAGCCCATTTTAAGGGATGACATCAGACACTCCCATACCTGTAGCCACCTTGAATTTCTGTGCAATGCCCTCACCTACAAATGGCTCACACATGGTGGGCTCCTTGACCAGCTCTGGGGCAGCCTCCATTAGCACCATGGCGGCCTCGAGATTGTCATAGAGAGCAGCAATGTGCAGCGCTGTCTCCCCCAGGGCTCCTGGAGCAGAATGAGAGATGTGTCAGACACTTTCCAGAGCCCCTGGAAGGATGGGCCCCAGGCTACAGAGATACTTTCCAAGGCCCCTTTGCAGAGACCCTCAGCATCCTGGGGCAGAGAGGGGTGCCACCTGCCCCTGTCTCCACCACGGTAAACTCCAACCCCACCTCTTTGACCAAAGTCGCAGGCTTGGTCCAGCAGAAGTTTCTTCAGGACGCACAGGTCATTTTCCTTGGCTGCCCGAAGCAGTTGAGATTCTTGAATCCTGGGAGATAATGAACATGAGTCAGACAGAAACAGAATCGCAGAGGATAAAAACAGAGAAAGGATCGGAGACTTTCTCTGCCTAGGACAGGTACCATTCATACAAAGTGTTCAGTGACACATTGCAAAGAGCTGCTTACTGGATTCTAGCAGAGGGTCAGACTGCGGATGGAGCCCATTTCTGGGTTTCTCATGTAGTTGCCACACACTAGCTCTTCCCACTTGGGATGCCTCATGGCTCAGCTGTGTGGGAGACTTAGTAGAGGGGTGTCAGGCCTAAGGAGGCCATCAGGCCTGGCTGAGACCATCTAAGCTGAGTAAATATTTCGGGAACCTCAGGACCTGAGGAAAGTGGAGGAAAGGGAATTTCTACCCAGGTTTTCATTCCTGTTCCCAGGCCAGCTGAACCGGCTCTTTTTAGCCAAGGGGAGTTTGAGAGAACAGACAGGTAGAGAGGGAGAGATGGGCCAGCTGTTAGGACTTAGGAGCTCTGTGGGCTGACTAACCTGCGGGCTCTTCAGGTACACGTCCCTGCTGTGGGACAGGGAGCACTGCGGAGTCGGGGATGGAGGGGCTGTCCATTCTGCTTTCTACCCTTTGATACAAGGGTTAAATACCTAGTTTACATTGGAGGAGGAATGTAGCCTTGGGCTCCTCTGAGGATAGTACAACTGAGGGTGAGCACAGGTCCCTGGGGACCTACACACTGTCTTAGTTTCTCTCCTGGGAACAAGAGACAAAGCCGAAGCTTAAGTTGAAGACGATCTAGCTGGGCAAGTATGTGTTGGCTCCTGAGGTGAACACAAAGCCTGGCAGGTTGAGGGTCATGAGGAAGACATGAAAGATAGAGAACCTGAGGGGTTCTTCCATGGTGCCCCCCAGCCCAATTCCTCTCTTCCATGCACGGAGGGAACCAATGAGAAGCTCGGGTCTGCCCTTAGGGCTGCGCTCTCAGGACGGGTCTTCAGAGTGAGGGCCAGTGGCCCCCTGCCGTCTCGCCTAGACCCTTGGTGGGTGTGCACCCAGGATTTCCAGGTTCAGCCCCTGTGCTGAGGGCACCCCACACAGCCTCAGCACTCCAGTCCCTTAGCCCATTGCCCTCTGCAGGGTGGAGGTCGGAACTCAGCTTTCTCCTAGAGAAGGCTGCCCTGGTCCCACCCTAAAGTCCGGAGGGAGGTAGGAGGCCAAAGGTTCCATTGCAGGGCCTGGGGTGGGGGTTGGTGAGCAAGCAGAGAGCCTTTCTGCAAAGAGGGCTCAGACTGCACCCAGGGCTGGCTGCACAATTTGCAAGGCTCAGTACAAAATGAAAATACCAGACCCCTTGTTTAAAAACGATTAAGGATTTCAAGATGATGAGGGCAGCACAGGGTTCTTCTGAACCACAGAGCCCTATGCACCCACCCACACAGCCAGCCTTGTTTGTCCCACAGATGTGCTAGCGTCTGCTCCCTTACCCTCCAACATTCTCCAAATGCTCCAAAACAGAGGCCTGCCTATAGGATGGGTCTCTGCCCTGGCTGCTGTTCCAGGGTCTGGACCTCAGGGTGGCCATGAAATGATCTGCCCCAGGTGCACCAGCTTCCCCAGAACTGAAAGTACCCCAGGAGCAGGCACAAGCCTTATTCAAACTGAATCCTCAGGACTTACTTAGCTCATTGATGCACACAGTAGACTCGCAGTAAAAGGTGGATGGACTGAACTAAGGACTGTCCATCATCACCTGGTCCCCCAGCTGTTCATCTCCAGGTGGTACACAAAACAAAGCTCTCCCTGCCACTTTCCCAGGCAATCACATTTCATTCATTCTGATGGTTGTTCTGTACTCTTTCTCCAGCCAACAAGTCTTTTAAAACCCACAGGATCTCATCCCTTCCCCCCAGCAGGTGCCTGCCTATCATCCCCCCAAATACCCTGGCTTCCTCTAGCCAGTCCCTGTTGGCCTCCCCCCAACCCTTCTACTGGGAAGGCAGGCAGAGCCTTAGGGCTACTCTGTTCCTGGCTTTGAATCCACATACATACATACATACATACACACACACCTGACAAATTAGGCCACTGGGGCTTGGGGATGGCAAGGCTGGGTATATCCAAGCACCTGGCCCTGAACTCTGGGGCACTCTGTCTGAAATTTAGAACCCACTGGATCAGGGAGGGAGAAGTGGGATATGGTGTGACTGGGGCCCCTTACCTCTTCTGCTGTTGCATATAGGCCTTGTCCAGAAGCTGGTCCCAGTCTTGCTCTCTGACCAGCCAGGAGGCCAGAAACTTCTGGAGTTGGATCCAGGGCCCTTCTGCCTTGGGCGGAGGAGCCCCCATGTCTTTTCCTGTCAGCACCGGCAGGTTAAGGGAATGTGGTAAAAGGAGCTGGTCTAGGCTCAGCAGCAGCCGAGGAGGCGGGGTCTGTTTGGGGTTGGGACCGGGAATGAGTATGTCTTCCACAGGTGATGTGTGTGCAGTGAACAGTTTGCGGCGATGTGGGGTGTGTGTGTGTGCGCGTGTGCGTGTGCGTGTGCGTATGCATGTTTGCAGTAAGAGGACTGGAGTGCCTGCCAGGAGAGAGCAGCTCTACCTGGAGGGGGAGGAGCTGTCTGAGAACGAGCCCTTGGGGCACAGAACCTGCCCTGGAGCTCGGAGGGAAAAGGGGAGGGAACTCTGCTCCTGGCAGTGGGCTGGGGCAGCAGCTGAGACCTGAGTGGGGAGGGCTGGGCAGAGGAATCTAGAGGGGGAGCAAGCATGGAGCCCCCCAGAAGGTGGGTCCCACAAGCAAGGTGAGGAGTTAGTGAGATGCAGGAAAGTAGGGAAGCAAAGCCCTCCAGCTCGGCAGTCAGACTGGTCAGGCTTGAATCCTGGAGCTCAGTTAGGGGAGCCTTCTGTGCCTCAGCCTTTCAATTGTAAAATCAGGGTGATAAATGCGCTTTCTACTGGAGGTGTCTGTAAAGTCCGGCCAGAAGAGCCTGAGGACTGTTGATTCTCCTTTGATGGGCTCAAAGCCCCTGGGGCTTTTCCTCTAAGTTGTGATCATCTCTGTCTGCAACTGTGGAGGCCCCCACGTCTCCAGACCACCTCCTCCATGAGAACTCCGGCAGTGACCCCTCTTCCTTCCCACTTCTTAGACACCAGTCGGGGGGCCCCCAGAAGGCCCTGTATTCCCACAGAGGTTGAACAGGAACTGAGCAGAGGCAGAGGACAGAGAAATTTGGGACTCTCTTCAGGAATGAGACAGCAGGACGAGTGAATAAAGATATGGCAGTGTTGTGTGATTTTATGACAGGACAGTTTCTACATCTCTTCCTGATTGTTTTCAAAGAGATACGTCCATATTCTTGATTTGGAGTCAATCAATAGACCTATGCGGCGCTTGAGAAATGGCTGAGGGTCTCCTTAATGAGAAGATGGGGCAGGAATGTGATTACCCACTGCTAACAGCAAACTAGAACTGGCTTTAGAGTTGGAACCTGAGCTCCGAATCACCCACCTTTTTGCCTCTTGGGAAATTTCTGCCTATAAAGGTATGAGAGACTTGGGTGGACATAGGCTGGGGACCTTGACCCTTGGGGGTCTTCTGTAGAGGCTGAAGAATGGACTAAATAGCCTTCAGAGAAGGCTGCACATTGAAAGGAAAATCAGTTGGTGAGGGAAGAGCAGATGTCTGAGATGGGGAAGAAGGGTGCTCCCCACCCAGGAAGCTGGGACACTGCCTGCTGGGAAGGGGAGAGAGTCACCTTGTGAGACATTTTTCTGCGTTGCTGGGGGTTGGGGCAGCGGAGGGTGGTAATAGTCTCTGAAACCTTGGGACTTCCAGTCTGAGGAGATGGAGGGAGCGATAAGGTTGAGGTGGGGGTTGTAGATGGGCTGATAAGCGGAGCCTTTCCTTGCCGAGGAAACACTCACCCCATAAAGCTGATCCTGGAGGGCATGGGGGTGGGGAGCGCCGCCCGGTCTTAGCCGCACGGAGCAGGAACGCAGGAGCCGCCACCAAGGGCACTGTGCTTGGGTCTGGAAGGGGCGCGAGGGCCATGCACTGGGCTCCAGCTCTGGGTCTTCACCCTCTCGACCATCCTTCCCTGTCCTCTCCAATGGGCGGGGTGTGTACAAGTAGCTTCACGGGGACCCAGTTGTCCCACCTGACCCAGCTGGGAGACAGGGGGTTTCGAAACTAGTCCCCAGTCTTTAAGGACAGCTCTCCTCTGGCTTCCTCCCCACCACTCTTCACCCTTGTCAGATTTCGCAGGGACACCCTGTCTTCCCTTTTCTCGGCTCATTCTTCTTGGCCTTCTGCAGGCAAAGACACCTAGGACCCCCTCCCTGACGCAGCAGCTGCCCCCCAGGATGACCCAGCGGGGCTCAGTGGAGCCTCCCAGGGGCCCAGAGGGAGCCCTGGGCAGCAGCTCACCCGGCTGTCCGGCTCCAGAGCCCCTTGGCTCAAAGCAGCCACACCTCTTACTCTGATGTGAAAAGGAAGAGGAAAATACATAAAACTTGGGTCTCAGGTTTTAGGAAATACCCTCCCACTCCCACCTGCCCACAGCCATATAGGGAAGGGATTTGAAGACATTACTTTAAAACATTAACAGTGATTATCACCGAAGAGTGAAATTATTAGCCCTTTCTGTTTTTCATGCTTTTTAAACACTCTTATGATAAGAAAGAACAATTTAGAGGGATTCCTGCTTTCCTGCAAGGATTTATCTTTTTTCAGCGTTGGGAGTTGGCAGGTGGGTGGTGAGGAAATGGATGTCATGGTGGTCAGTCCAGCCTGGTTCTTTCTGCACCAAGCTGCCTCTGGAAGACACTCCCACGCCAGCCGTCCTCCCCAGCCACACTCACAGAGCTGGGGACAGCGTCTTTTTTCACCAGGAACCAAGAGGCTCCTTCTACAAAACAGCCAGCAAATTAGTGATTTTTTTTTTCCAAGCCAGGGCATCATTCCCTGGGCCTGCAGGTCAATGAGTGCAAGGTAGGGGTGAACAGGGTCACCTGCTTACTTGAGTCTTTCCTCCTTCACCGTCAGGTGACCTCCTGTACTCTGTCACCTATCTTGGATCACCAGAAAGCATGTAAGAGGTAGTGTGAGCTGTCTACCTGCCACAGTGCCTGCATGTGTGTGTGCATGCCTGCTAGTGTGGTCTGGGGGAAGGAGCCGCCACATGCACGTCTGTGTCTGCAGCTCCCTCTTTCAGGAATACGTGTTTCTGTACACATCCTTGCTCCTGTGTTTCAGGTGGCTCATTCAGGTGTGGAATGCTTGGATGCCAGGAGCGGTGTGAGACGGTCGCAATAGCTGCATGTGTCTAAAATCTCCTCTCACTTGTCCTCACGCCCATCCTCTATTTCACGCCTGTATCTGTTTCTGGTTTTCCAGGACAGGCCTCCATCCCCCCTCCCCAGCCCTCCCCACCCGCTCCAACCATCTCTGCTCCAGGAAGTGGATGATAATTAGCCACAGTCCCTTACGGCTCATAGGTCTGTGCTCACCAGGTTCGTGGGCAGTGTGGACATGGGGGCACTGAGGCAGGTTTCTCGGTGTTATTGGGATCCTCATCTCTCTACAACTCTGGATCTTCTCTGAAGATTCTAACTCCTTCCATCAAGCAAGGAGCTTACCAAATGAATCTCTAACACAATTTCTCTGTATCTAAGAGTCCAAGGGGGTGTCTATTGAAAGAAGAGGGGTTTCAGTCTGTCCGTACAAGAGGGCAAAGGCGAGGAAAGGTGGAAGCATGGTCCCTGCTTAGGGGAAGGGCACACTGCTCTGACTCTCTGCCGCTGCCCCCCACCCCCACACACAGAGCGTGTTCCCTCTTCCCTCCCTTCACCTGTGCTCCTCCACTCTCCTTGTTTCCGATGGACTTGGGTTCCATAGACAGCCCCAGACTTGAGGATCCTCATTTCTACAACTAGTCTGTGCTGCATCCTGTGTGAGCCACTTACCTTCAAGAGAGGCTCTGTGAAAGAGGGGGAACATGTGACATTTGGAATCAGGAGTTGACCAGGTAGCCTGCTCTGCCCCTTGTTATCTGTATGACTTTGAGTGGGAGAGTCAGTTCTTTTGTGAGCCTCAGTTTTCTCATCTATGTAATGGGTATGGCACTACCACTACTTTGAGTCCTGGTTGCTATGTGGATCTAATGATGTAATGGGTGTGAAAGCACTTTACAAACTCTTAAGCCATTTTTGTTGCTCTCCGCAGGATGACCCGCTGTGGCGATCGAGAAGCCTGTGCTGTTCACTGCTGGCCGCTCTTCAGCCTGGCAGTGGAACTCTCTAGGGAGCTGGAATGGGGGTCAGGCCCAGGGCTGTGATGTCACAGAGCTCATGAAGTCAGCAGTCCTGTGGGAGAAAGAGGAAGAAAACAGGGCTGGAAAGGGCAAGGAGGTGGTAGGAGCCTGCAGAGCACTGGGGAGCCACGAAGGCCAGAGGCAGCTGATGGGCAGGCCCCTGACTTCCCTGGGCCCCCAGCTCTCCAGGACAGCACTCCTGGCAGCCGTCCTGCTGCTGCTGTGGGTGAAGCGGGTAACGCCTCAGAAAGGGGGCCCAGGCTCTGAGGAGAGGAGTCAGGACAGGGGGACGCCCCCTCCAGGTAAGGAGAAAATTGGCCGCACTGTCTGGAGCTCAGGGCCAGATCTCTCTGGAGCCTATCCCAGCTTACTTACTGGGCCAGAGTGAACCTGAGGTAGGTTCAGGTTTGGGGGAGAACCCTGGCAGCCCTACTGCAGCGTGAGATGTCATGGAAAGGGCCTAGAGCAAGGGCGCTTTGCCAGGCCATCTCTAGGGCCACATCATGGGCCGACTGGAAGTGCATGTGGCTGTCGTGAGTGAACATAGGTGAATTTTTATGGGAAGAGGATCTATGTTCCTCTTGGAGAGGACACTTTGGAGGAGGCAGTCTGAGTTGAAAATGGGGAGCATGTGCACCTGAGTTGGGGGCCATGACTGAACACAGAACAGATGCTCTGGATGTAGCGTCATCATCTAGTCAAGGACAGGATATGGCAATTGGACTAAGAGCCCCCATATTTTCCCTATTCTCCAACTTCTTCCCCTTTCCCCTACAGCCTGGGGCAGGAGGAAGGTCAGGACCAGTCCCTTCAGTGCAGTTCTCTTTCCCCTGTTCCAGACCAGGAGCAAGAGCAGTTTGAAGAGCAGTTTGTGGCCTCCTCTGTGGGAGAGATGTGGCAGGTGGTGGACATGGCCCAGCAAGAGGGCGAACAGACATCAGAGACGGCGGCTGCCCACGACCACTTATTCGATGTAGTCTTCTGCTTTAACCTGGCCAGCATCATGGTTTTTTTGTGAGGAACATGGAAGCTGAGGGGGTAGCCTGGTTCCTGGATGAGGACCTGTACCTCTACCTCCACCCCATGGCAGCTTACTGAACTCTCTCCCCAAGGGGCTTCAAGTCACTACCCCAACGCAGATGCTGCTGGCAGCCCTTTCCCCCGGGACGCAGTGTCAGAGAGATGCTGGCTCTGGCCTTTCCGTGCCCATCTCACTGCCTGGTGACCTCCCCACGCTCTGAGCTCCACTCCCCAGGGCCGCAGACCCCGGACCCACGCGCTTCTCTCCCCTGCCTCTCCTGGCTTTGGTCAGAATAGCAGATAGGCAGGAGGAGGCAGCCACAATAAAAGCAATAGCAATAAAATCCTGGGGACAATTGAGGACAGCTCCAAGCCCTTTTGTCTCCAACTAGTCTGTTTAATCACCCAACCTTTGGCCCACCGACCTTTAGACCCACCAAAAATTGGGTCTCTCCTTTCCTTGTGTATGGAATGCTGACATTTTCTTCTCTTATCTTTTCTGACTTCTAGGCACAGAACATAGCAGGAAAGAATCATTAAAAAACAGGCAGAAGCCAAGTGCCAGCTTTTATTTTTGGATATGGCCTGATTCCATGTAGGGGGCAGGAAATGTTGATACAACTGAACTGGGTTCTCTTTGGTAGCCAGGTTACCAGAGCTGGCAGCGGCTGAAGGGGTTCATGAGGGCACCGTGTGGACAGTGGAAATGTCTGGCAAAGGCTGGGGTGTTGCTGAGGGGCCCAAGGACTCGAAGGATGGGGGGGCTGTGAGTGTCCTGAGAATCCTGGGTGTCAGGCTCCCTACACATCACCTGTGGAGAAAGAGGTCCATACAGGATAAGGAGAACAGCAGGGTAGACTGGGCAGTAGACCAGGCACCTGGTGACTAGGTGGCAACTAGGGCCAGCTGACAAAGACGAGAGCGGGGATAGGAACCCTTGAAGGGCCACACCAAGGAAGGAAGAGCGTTGGCGTTCTGTACGCAGGTCATTTAACCCGGCGGTAGGCATCTTGGGGAGGTCCATGTAACCAGCCCACTTATAGTGACCACGAGGTGGGCTCTCTCGGAAGAAGTCTGTGAGGGGTCTTTAAGGGTATTGAGGAGTTGGAGGCCATGTCTGTCAAGGGGCACATGTATGTAGAGGGTTATATCGGGTGGGGATGAGGTCTCCCGGGAGGAATGCGCTCTATAGGCCACCTGATGAAGGCTCATTTTGAACGGGTCTGTATTTCTAGGAGAAAAAATGAGAGAAGAAAAAAGCTGGGCTCATCTCAGGGAGGGATTTGAAAGCAGAGATTTTTTTTTGAAGAGGCTGCTGAATTTGGTGGGAGAATTGAGAGCAGTATGGAAGATGGTCCCAAGGCAGACATGTGAACGGAGGACGGGGGGATGAGAGCGGCACAGGGCAGGGCACCTCGGGGACGCTGTCTCGGGGGAGAGGTCTTCACGCGCCAGCACAGGGTGTTACCTGACACTGAGCCAGTTGTAGGGGGCGGGTGGCCCCTGCCTACCTGGGCATAGCTTCGGAAGAAGAGCTGATAGGGGCTGAGGCCCAGGTTCAGCAGGGTGGTCTCCCCACGGTGCCTTACTAGCCTCTGGTTGTATGCCTGGATGTCGGGGTGAGACAGAGGGTGGCCTTTGGGACTCCAGGTCCATGGCCGTTTGGAAAAGCGATGCCCTACACACAACACCCAAAACCAGTTCGTGGTCTGTTTTCCTAAGTTCGGTACTGACACACTGGTCCAAGCCAGGAGAAAATATACATGTCAGAAGATCTATGGATATCCTAGGAAAGAGGGATCTACAGGGTATGAGGGGGATCCCCAAATTGCCATCTGTTCAGTGGCGATGTGAAGGGCAGAGAGCTTTGCAACTACATGTTTGCACGAGGGATGATGATAGAAAGAAAAATGGGGGACAGGGTGTTTATTCTGCCAGTAAAAATAGATATTGGCCCTTGGGATGTGAGTTACCTGCAGGGCAATGGTCAGCCCCCCAGTGTCTGCAGCATTTTCAGGGAATGTGTGGGAGCCATTGAAGGCAGTTCCGCTGGGTAATGGAAAGGCAGCATAGTGGTCCTCCAGGCAGAGCTGCGCCCCCTGTAGGGCACGGGTGTCACAGGCAGGGCAACCCCCAGGCAGTACTGTTGGAAATGGAGCCTGGTCAAGGAATAGTGGGACACTGTGCGGGGGTGAGGCCATGGGGGCACCGCACACTGCGCTGGCTCCCGGGCACATTCAGAGATTTCAGGACTGTCCCACCTGGAGACCCCCGTTCTCCTCTTCTAGGCCTCTTTTGGGGCCTTCATCTGGGTTCCCAATGGCCCCACCTCCCAGTGGCCCTCTGTTACCCACATTGCTGGTAGAAGATGTGCAACAGCTCACGGGCCATAATGCTGCCAACAGCGCCATAGTTCACAGCTCTGGGGAAATAAGAGCTTGTCTTACCCCCAGAATCCTTCAACATTTTGACCTCAATTCTCCAACCACAAGTCCTATCCATCATAACATCTGTCCATCATTCTTGGGAAGCTCCCTGGTCACCCTCACAGAATGGCCCATACCTGGGGTAGCCAGGGTGGAAGAATGGAGGTTGGAGGAGTCCAGCTGGGAAGACCACCACATGGTCAGATATCGAGTAATAAGCATTAACCCCCCAGGGGACCACCTGCCACCTGTGGGAAGAGCACATACGAACACCAGCTCTATCATTTATCACCCCTCCACCAGACATATGCAGTCCCTCCCGACTCCCGTCACTATTCCTGTTTCCCTGAGCCCCAGGCTTTCTTTCCGGCTCGTCTGGGATGGGTATCTCTAGGATGTTGTGTCTGCGCCTTCCTTGTTCTCATACCTGTGATAGGGGACAGGCTGCAAGAAGCTCTGGACAGTCCTAGCTTGGAGAGATCGGACACAGCTCAGGAAGGACTGCAGGTAGCTGGAGCCGAGCTGTACCTGGAGGAAGAAGGTGACTTGGATACACAGAGACACATGCAGGTGCACATTGACACCTAATGGGTGCATATGATTACAAACCGGCAGCCTAGCACACAGACATCCACAGCACAGTGGCACCCAGCACACTGACACCACCACACCACACATTGGTATGCAGGTTTCATGCACACACATAAACACAATTAAGCAAGTCACATGAATGCATGTGTGAACACACATTCACTGTGATCTGAAAAGTTTCCATTCTTTTGCCAGAAAGATCCACAGTATGGATATTTGCCCCTGAAACTCAGCCAGCAACAGCGCAACAGAGGGATTGGTTACGAGCACTCAGGGAAAGTGGATTGTCTGACATCAAGCGGGTTGGCAGGTAAGGAGAAGTTGCAGACTACGGAGGAGCCGGCAAGGGCAGGCACCCACGTCATTGTATTCCTCTCTGGCCAGCGCTGGCTCCAGGGCCCATTCTGGAGCCCCTATCTTCACCTGCAGTTGGGTGACCTGGGGACAGACACAAAAGGTAGGAAGAACTTAGCTACCCCAAATCTATCATAGGGCATTTCTCTTGCTCTCTACCCTTGTTCCCACCTTTTCCACTGTCACCAGGATATGCATGTAGCATCCTGGTGTTTATACCTGCCATGCGCTCTGTACCTTTTGCTCTGTCCCCAGGTCATTCTGATCTCCTGAGCCAATACTCAATTTCACCCCCAGCATGTTCCCATATTGTCCCTTACCCTTCAGAGGTCTTACCCTGTCCTGGGCCTCTTTCCGGGTCTCCTCATCCATCCAGGGAAGCCTTTGGAGGCGAGTGATGAGGGCGTCCTTGATTGCAGTGAATAATTCCATGACCTGCAGGTGTGAGGGGAGGGGATATAGGAACAGGATAAGGATCAGCCTCAGTCTTGGATCCTGCTCACCTGGCCTCTGGGAAGGGGCCTTGGCCCTGAGGAGCTGTCAGAGAACAGCGAGGTTCTCAGAAAGAGAAAGTGGAAAGTAATATTTTAGGTGAACAAAAACCCAAGTTACAAAGGTCAGCCCCAGTTACAAGTTACAAGTTACAGTTACAACTTACAACCCCAGAAAGAAGGTGTCAAGCACAGAAAGGGAAGGTGGGAACCAGTCACTCCTAAAGGTAGACAGGGGAGGCAGTTCATTTCTGTGGGGAGATGGCAGCCTGCCCAGGTGTGCTGTACACAAAGTCCTTACTCTTGGCCAAGCAATCTGCTAAGAAAGTGGAGGGAGGAAGGGGATAACCATTTCCTTCTCTGCTCTTGAGGGACCTTGTCCTCATGCCCTCTTTCTTAAGGCATGCATGCATTTCCTTTTCCTGGGCTCTTCAGCTTCCCAAGAAGCTGACTCTTCCTGGCTTTCCAGCTTGCCTGGGTAGTTACTGCCTTCCCAGCCACCTGCCATCTACCTTCCTGTGTATATTCTTTCTTGATGGAGGAAAATGGATGACAAGACCAGAAACCCAAGTTCAAATCTTGGCTCTGCTATTTGGTAGGTGTGTGACCTTGAGCAAGTCACTAATCTCCCTGTGCCTCAGTTCTCTTTTCTATAAAATTAGGATGATACTAGGAGTTAAAGCAGCTCATGCAAAGAGCACGAGGCACATGGTAGGAACTCAGGAAGTATTCAGCAGTTAGTTATTTGTACTTTTCTTAAGATTGTATCGTTCCATTCTCAAGTGCTAAAAAATCATCAACAGAGTAGCCTTAAAGGTCACGCAGTTCAGTTTTCTCATTTTATGGTTGAAGAAACACAAGGGCGGGAAAGTTGGGTGACTTGTCCAGGTTAGTTAGTACATGTTGTGGACACTTTGTGTCCCACAGCTAAACTGGGCAGCCCCTGGGGATACAGCCTGTCGCTTAGGTTTTCTCTCCTAGTGAACTCTCTGAGACTGCCTGATTCCCTGACCACACATACCATCAAGAAGGGCAAAGTCAGTAGATTCAGGAGAGCATGGGTTGAGTGGGAAGGGACAGGGGACATGGGCTGGGAAAGAGCCCTCACATACAGCACTTTGGGTGCTCGGGCGGAAGGCCTCACGAACAAACAAGGCTGCCAGAGTAGCTTCAAAGAAGGTTCCTGTCTCCTCCACGCACTCCATCCATCGCTGGTGGGCAGGCTATGGAGACAAAGCCGGAATGAGACAAAACATTCTTCCCCATCCATTTCCCTAGGCTAATCTTGTCTAGGCCTTCAGCCCCAGAGGATGTGCTCTTTTCTAGCTGTTCTGTGTTTGTCTCACTTTATTATCCCTTTTGGTGACACCCATTAGGGTTATTGCTTATTCAGCAAAAAGGGGTGTACGTTCTCCAGGATTAATTTCATGAGCCTGAGTTGAGTGAATCATCCTTGTTTATTGTCTATTGAATTTGAAAGCAAGGCATCTTCCTGGAAAACCAAAAGGGTTCTGGGAAGGAGAAGACTAGCAGCTAAACCTGTACCTTGGCAGGTCTGTTGGTTGCCCTGTCCCCACCCACCCCACGCACAGCTCTGGGAGGCCAGCAATGACTCCCACCCTCCCATGCTTCTTTGCTTACAGTGGAAATTAGAAAAAGTAATTCTTCTCTCCCAGAACCCTCCCTACTCTCCAAATAGTTATCATGGATCATATGGTAGGATCTTGTCTTGTGAAGAAAATGATCAGAGTGAAACTGGGTTTGAGATGCCATGTTGTTTGGCAGGAGAAGCAGACAAAAGAGAAGACTAAATATATGAATTCAGACAGCTAAGAAATTTAGCCAAATCAGGGAAGAGAAAATAAGATGAGAAAAAGCATGTCTTTGACTTCAAAGGCATGGAGACAGTTAGACAAAAACTCAAGAGAGCCTTGGCAACTGCAGTATTTTTTAACAGCAGAAAGGGAAGAATAAGAAACGTAAGAATTGCTGTGGAGGTTTTGGTGGTGGGCTTGGATGGCTGTGGAGGTGGTCAGCCCAGCAAGGACACAGGGCAAACAGAGGTGTGCTCAAGGGGCTGGGGTAAGGAATGGGACAGCCAGCCCACGGGAAGGTTGAGCTGGGACTTGGGAAAACCAGCTAATATGCTAATTTGGGTTAAGTGGGATGAAGTCACAAGACTTCATTCCAGTAACTTATTTACTCCCCACAGGTCTCCTGAAAGGGAAGGTAGTTAGGCTTCTATGCTCTCTGGTGCTGAGATTAGAGAGTTTATAGGGCTTCCCACCAAAGAAGCAGCAGCAAGGGAAGGCAGTGCTGCCGCCGATGAGGACGACTCTCTGGGCCTGCCCGTTAGGCCTTCTGTCCTTCAGCAGGTGGCTCCAGACCTGGCTGAGCACATTTGTGTATTCTTGTGAGGTTTACCCTCACTGTGAGGTTTGTCAAGCACCTTCTCCTCTTGTGAGAAGGGACTGGACACTTCTGTAGTGTTCTACCTTGAGCTCTGAAACAAATGTGAAAAGCAAACACCAGTTGAAAGGAAAGCTGGGTCTGATATGCAGTGACTGGGTAAATGTGTAGGCTTGCTGGCCACCTGCAGCGTCTGTCCCCGGGCAGCAGCAAACGCATCAACCTTGAGCTCGGTAGTGTGGGCCTGCCTGTCCTGTCCTTGTCTTGAGCTGTTTCCTGATCACTTTCCCTGGTGTCTGCCCATTCTCCAACAGCCTTTGCATGCTCCTTGCCTGTCCCCGTAGCCTGGCCACAGCAGGCTCTGACCTGGTTACCAGGGAACCGAGATGCCCTTTCAGACTATCCATTGCTCACCACTATGCAGATCTGGGATTGTTTTGGTCAGATTTGTGCTGGGTCACATGTCTTATGAGTAGGAAAATAATTTCCAGAATCTATAAGTAAATGTAGCTTTTAGGGGTGGAGGCTGCCAGGTTACATATTCATGTACTGGGGGTTAGAAGTATCTGAGCTGTCTCTCAAGACATGGAATATAAAATATACCATATATTTTAGAAATAGAGAAAGAGAGAGGAAATAGGAAGAAAAATCACTGCCAAAATATAAAGGATGGAAAAAATACTTTAAACCCAATATAATGAAGTTAAGTAAAGTTAATTTTAGGGAACAGAAGAAAAGTTACAGATATAACCTTAAAACCATGCATAATAATATTTGAGAAAGGATAGCAATCAAGAAAAATTCCAGGAGTCTGGAGGAAAGTAAAAATTTGCCCAATTTTCAGTAGGGGAAAAGCAGATTTTAGAGATTATAGGCTAGCTAAGAATCCTTAATGTTAATTTCTAAACAAAATTCTAGAATGAATCATTAAACTGACCATTTTTCAACAACTGGAAAATAATGTGTGGCTACCAAGGCCAGAAGAGAATCACTGAGGACAAATAATGCCAAAATAATAGCAATTTTTCTGGTTAAAGTTTCACTGAAGTAGAATAAACCACAGACCAGGACTCACAAACTCAAAGTCAGGCCATGTGGTGGCTTAAGTGAGAAGAGTCCCACATCAGAGCCTCAGGACATGGAGGGGCGATGATGAACTGGGGAGGCATGCCCAGTCCAAATGGGGCTGCATTATTTAGCTCCAGCCAATTGCTGTCCCTGGTAAAGGGCTAGCCCAGTGCCGCCCAGGTCTCACATTCACCACAAAAAATAGAGGGCTGGAAAACTGATATTGGCATGCTGTCTCCCAATTTTTGAACATTAGCGATTAAGTCAAAGTTTGTGAAAAGCGTTAAAGACAAACACATCTGTTGGTCACGTTCCTCCTCAAAGAACCACCCAACACCACCTCTGAAGGGCAAATTCAGCATTTACTAAATGTGGTGCTGACGTAAAACCCCCATACTTTAGATACACCAGCTATAGACATGCGACTAATACCTGTTTCCTCTTCCTCACAGAATGTAGACATAGGTGGCTGGACAACAGGTGAAACAATGTATTGTACTGAAAGTTCTCTGTAAACTCCAATGTACTATCCCACCCTGTTCACATTATTTTGATTTCAAGAAGGCATTAAGTAAAACCACAAATGAAGTCCTTGTGAAGTAGATGAAGAAATCTGTTGGATGAAAGTGTAATTTGAGCAGCTTCTTAGCGGGCTGCACCATAACATCAGTGATTAGTGACTCCAAGTTAGTATGAGCCTCCTTGGTTGTCCTACTAAAAACTGTAACATGCCCAGTCCTCCCCTCCAACTTATGCTTCCGTAAAACTTATCACCACCTTACATATTCATTTAGTTAACTGCCTTTCTTCCTCCATTGGAATGTAACTGTCTTGAGGGCAAGGGTTTTTGTCCATGTGGTATCCTAGAGAAGTGTCTGGCATATAGTACCTGCTCAATAAATTTTTGTTGCATGAATGAATAGATGAATTTATAGCTACCTCTTCAAAAATCTGACCTAATGCTCTTCCTTCTTCAGGTTCTTAACAGTCTAGATGAAGATACACTAAATAAAACTGCAAATGACTCACAGTACAAATACAATGGATGATTGAAACAAAGGCTAAAATTACCTGAATTCATTGGGATGTTGAGCTGAAAATAAAAGTTCACATCCAATGGGTATAAAATGTGAAGTCCTTCTTTTACTTCCTAAAACTCAGCTTCTCAAGTCTTATAAGAGAAAGACCTGGCTTAACAGCCATTTTCATTGACGGCATATTAAAAATTAATCAACAAAATTTGGTCAGATGATGAGGCCTAGTGGTCTTTCTAAATAAGGACACTATAAAATAGATTTCATTCAGAAGAATATGGTTAGAAATCAGTCATTAATGACCATTGCATAGGAGCACAAATTTTGGTCAAATCAAGGACAAAACATTGGTCGTGTCTTTGACCCTCTGGCACCATGCATCCCTCAGGAAATCCTGTTGCTTACCTTCAAAATACATTCTTTTAAAATGTGAAACAGATCAATCCTTCTATAGGCCCTCCTTTCATGCAGGAGAAAGTGAAAGTTCTTACAGTGACCTATCAGGCCTGTACATCCCCATTCCCTCCCAGATTTCCTTCTATTATCTGATTTCACTTTCTCTGCCCCCATTGTACTGGCTTCCTTGCTGATTCTCAAACACCCAGAGCTCCAGCAGCAGCAGGCAGAGCCTTCCATGCAAGCCTAGCCATTGCTTCTCAGCCAGGGGCACCAGGAGGACCCAAGTTCTAGCTAGCCCACTCCAGGCCTTGTCCCAATGAAATGACATCCCTTTCTTTGCAGAAAACCCCTTCAAGTCTGTAGACACTGCATCAGTTGTACCTCCTGCAGAGATCCACTGGTCATTCAAACCTTTCCTGACCTCTCCCTCTTGGGAGCTCTAAGAGAATCCATTGTCTAAAACAGTTTTCTTGGAATGCAGCCACACCCATTCATTTACTTAGTGTACAGCTGCTTTTATGCTTCATGGACAGAGCTGAGTAGTTGCAACACAGACTGTATGGACTGCAAAACCAAAAATATTTACTATCTTGACCTTTATAGAAAGAATTTGTCAACCCATTTTCTGCAACACTGCTTATTTCTCAATCCTGCGCAGAATGCGGTTAAAAAAAAATGGCCTTGTGAGCCAGACAAATCTGTTTTAGAATCTGTTCCTTCAATTATGAGCTATGTGATCTGGGGAATGTTATTTGTCCTTTCTGAGGACCTCAGAGTGTTTCGGGGATGACTAAATAAAATCATCTACATTAAGTGCTCCATGCAGTGCCTGACGTACAGTAACTACTCAGTGTTTACCAGCTGTTATTATTATGGGTCGTATTTCATACTGTTGTTCCAGAGAAGTGAAGAGGCCCCCCCTGCAAAGTCATGCAACTTTTGGTTGGTAGAGCTTGACTCAGCTTTTAAGCACAAGGACAACTGTGTACCGTAATGCATGTATGTGAGGATGTATATAATATATAAGGGATATATATATTTATGTATATAAGTGATGGAGAATTTAGCAATTTGTAAGCCTTCTAAGTTCCCTAGGTGTGAGTTTTGATGTTGGCGGTTAACACTGTTCAAGAAGTGCCATCAGGCCATGGTTCTGGGATCTACAGGAGGCTGTTTTGTTGCCAGGGATTTGGTAGCAACCACAGCTAAGAGCAGTTGGGACTCTGTTCTGTTTCATCGGAGTTGACAAAAGGCTGGGTAGAAGCTTCTTGATGAAGTGCCCACCTGACGGGAAGTCCTAAGGAGGTGTATCTGCTTTTTTTTAGCGCAGTGATTAAACACACAGACCCTGGAACCAGACTGCCAGAGTTCAAACCCTAGCTCTACCAATTTACAAGCCATATTCACTTGAGCAAATTCCTTAACTTTTGGGCTCAATTTCCCCATCTGTAAAACAGGGATAAAATGGTGTGCCTACTTCATGGAATTGTAAGTATTAAATCAGCTCATGTATCTAAAGGGTTTAGAAAAATGTGTAGCACATTATACACTCTTAATAAGCAATAACTACATTCCAGTCCCCTGTACATACATTTCCCCTCTCTACATTCCATAGGTATTTCAGGTTGCCAAAGCAGTGAATTTCTCTAAGGTAGAAAAAAAGGTCCACAAATTACTAAGAAAAAATCCCCTGTGATTTTCAATACTATACTGAGGCCTTCACTGAGGGCAGAGCATAACTAATGTTTTAAATACCTCCACTTGCATCTGGATGTATTCAACCTCGGATTTCAAAGTTCTCTAAAGGAGTGTTTCTTCATCTTACATAACACAGTGGACTTCGGTTAGTGAAGTGCATTTGCTACACAGCCCCTCCTAAGGTGTCTCAGGATCTACACCATGAAGCCTGTGCTTTAGCCCAATGGATCCTACTGGACATCAGAGATGAACTCTGTGCAGAACACATTTGAACACTGAACACTGGAATCACCTAGACAGAGGAAAGGCCACTGCTTGCTGCATTTGTCTCTCACCCTGATGAATCCTTAGCTGTAGGTCCACGTCCTTAAATCACTGAGCTCTGGATAACTAGGCAAACAGTTCAAGGGCCATGACACAGGAAAAACAGTTGTTGATAATTTTAGGATTTTACATTCAAACTTTAATACTCAACAAAAGCCCATAAAGGTGGCCAGATGTGTGCCTAAAATCTGGTACCTGCTGCCTCAGTTATCAACATAAATGTTGTATACCCAATTTGTCTGCTTCCACGGAAAGCCCAGACATGGAGGGGCATCTGCCCTCAGGTCCCCTCCCTAAAAGAGATATGCAGACATGTATCCCACAAAACAGCAGATGCTCCTTTTTAGCCCTCGGTGTGGGAAAGCTTGTCCCCTCCTCTCCTCACCATGGGTGGTCGATCTGTCAGCTCTCGTAGTTTCTGGTTCAGCATTCTGCGTGCCTCCTGGAATTTACTGTCCAAGGCTGGAGATAGGGCCCCCACCAGCCCGAAGATCATGTGGCTCTGCAGAAAGTCCCTGTGAAGAGGAAAGAGACCCACACATTCACTCCAGGGCTCTGGGGATGCTCCCTTGCAGAGGTTCCCTGAGACTCCTAGGAGAAGACCCTTCTCCATATTTATAGAAAATAGCTGTTTGACATCAAGAAGAGCTTTTCTTGGGCTGGAGAATGATGGAAGGAACTAGCTGAAGAGGCAGATCTCTCCAGTCACAGGGAGAGAAGGATCTGAGCCCTATGAAGACTCAACTAAAGGATTTAACAAACAGATTTGTCTACTTTCACAACCAAGGAATCTCAGCTCATTTGAAGATGTACCTATAAGTACAACACAGCTGGGACTGAGACCTTTCTCTGCCCCGCTGGCAACTCTGTTCCCAGGTTTGGTCTGCACCCTTATGTAAGCCTGTTCACACCTGCCTGAATGCTTGTTTGCTTCCCTCAAAAGGAAATTTCTAGATGTAGCTGCCATTTAGTTCTGAAGGGACCATTAAGAAGGGCCCTGAACTCAAGCCCCTAGAAGGAAGCCACTGTCTTCAGATGGTGGCCACACAGGCATCAGTGGTGGCAGAGAGCTCAACACCAAGCTTCACCCGACGTCCTGCACCCTCCTCAGCCTGTCTTCCCCATAAGGACCCCAGAATCCTCTCACCCAGCTGAGAGATGGGCTCTCCTTCAGCTCTTTACCCAGAGCACCCCAGCCTTCACCTTCTCCACCCACTCGTTTCATGTGCCTCTACCTCCTGCCCACACCCCTCAGCTGTTAGCAAGGCATGCGTGCCTGAGCTGTCCCCAGAGACTGTCTCCAGCTCAGTGGCTCCTCACAGGCCAGGTTCTGCTGGACGTCTGCATCCTTCATTTCATATGCGTTCCCCTTCCCCATGCTCCCAAGCCTCTCAGACCTCCTGTTTCCTCCACTGCCTCTTAGGCTGTCCACCCCACCCCTTCTCTCTTTCCCCACATGTCTATGGATCCCTCCCATCCTCCTGAAGGCTCTTACCAGCCTTCTTTCTCCAAAACCTTCCTTGGCCCTGAGGCCCCTGGGCCCTCAACCCCTCTCCCCACCACCCTCCTTCCCTGATCCCAGCTCTGCAAACCTGTGCTCCAGCAGGTGCTCTTCTATTAACTGTGACATGTTTTTCAAATACTCCAGGTCATGGACCACGAGGGGCTGGGAGGGGCTCAGGGACATGGGTGTGAATGTCGCTTGCAAGCAGGACAACCAGTCGATGGCAGGGGCCATTGCCTTAGAGGAGGGAGACAAAGGTTGATAGTGGGGGGCAGGAAAGGAAGAGATGGGGAGTCCCCTCCCTCAGGGATTGAGAGGGACTACAGAGGGAGGTGGCTGCAGGAAGGGATGGAGCCACGAAGATCAAGCAACGAGGTCAAGAAGGCTGGGGAGAGAAACCCTCATGCCCACCCTCCTCCAGGCCCCAGTTCAAGGCACCTGCAGCTGGTCAACAGTGACCGTCTGGAAGAGCTTCCCCTGGGCCCGCCGCTGCTCCAGGGGCCTCAGAAACTGAAACAGCTTCGAGGTAATGGTTATGGACAAGGAGGCATGTTCTTGCACCTTGCTTGGGTCTCCTCCCAGCAAAGTTCCCAGCCGGTTCAGGTAGGTTAGGTATTCCCGCACGATCTGGGGGAGGGGCAACCTCAGTCACCGCCATCAGCAGCCCTTGCCTTTCTGCTAGTGTCAGAGGTCAGGACCTTTGTCCACATCACCATCTTACCTGAGCATAGATCTTCTGTTCCTGCTCTTGCTTCAGGGGAATGTCAAACTCTGGTTGGTCTATCTGGACACAAGAGAGACTGGAGAGACGTGGGGAGAGCGGAGGAAGGAGAGCAGGGACACAGGGAGAAGTGGGTGTGTCCTGGAAGATGGCCTCAGGAAATGGGGTAAACAGGACCCAGAGCAGGAGCCGAGTGCGAAGAATGGGAGTGACTGGGGACAAGGGAGATGAGGGAAAAAAGTGCAGACATGGAAACAGAAAGAGAGTGGGTATTTCATCCAGCTTGGGGTGCTCAACAAGTGAGAACCATAATAAATCTGGGTGCTAAAGGAAAAGCGTCCTTCAGCCACGGCCAGGTCTAGAGCAGAGGGAGTGACATGATACTATACCGGATGCAAAATTTAAGAGGCATTGAAAACAGTAATCAAGATAAATAATATCTTGATACTTTTAAAAACCAAACTTAATGCAAAAAATCCATGCTGAATAAAGTAGGAAAACTTTGCTTATCATGGATATTTTTCATAAAATCAAAAACCTATTTTTAATCCACTCTGAAAAAAAATTACAGATGTTTTCAAAAAGTCTACAAATAAGTTTTGACTGTTTGGGGGGCAGGATCTTTTTACCAAAAAAGTCATGCATTTTTGCATTGACTTCGGTTTTTCAGAAATATTCCTTAAAACACGATTTACCTTGATCACTGAGTTTCCGGTGGCCTCTTCGGTTGTGCACCCCAGGCAGGCAGCTCGCTCACCCCCCTGCCCCTCAGGTCTGGCGCTGGCATGTCCCTCACTCTATTCTGAGGATCTGTGTTCCCTCAGTTTTCCTTTTTCTTCTCCAGCTTCAATGTTCCACTCCCACCTTGAGCTATTACTTTTCCCCTATCTGAAAAACTTGACTCCTTTGTCATATTTTATGTCCTAACGTTCAAGAACTAAAAGTCATCTACACCCCTGCTTTCACTTCTTTACCTCCCCTCCTACACTCCCTGCAATCTGCGTCCATTTCCAGAACTGTCTGCATAGTATCTGCCGGAAGCTTTCATCCTAGAAGGAAGGAGCATTCCTTGTTCCCTGGGCTCCGAAATCTCTGGAAATAAGTGACCCCACCCTCCCGAAGGTGGCTCCTCCCCGTCCTCCCAGGTCACCATGTGGCCCTGGCTCCCACCTTCCTGGCACTCTTGGTCTTCTCGGCCCCCATGCCCCTCACTGGGGTGCTTCTATGCTTTCCCTGCACCCATGTTTCCCCTGAGAGTCCATCCAGTCTCAGGATGTAACCAGCCTCCTCTGATTCACACCAAATCAAAACTGCAGTCTTTCTCTGATTTCTGCATTTCGCTTATTTATATTCTGTCTCCAAGTCCTCCAGTCACCATGGACGATCACCACGAAGATTCAGTGGCCTAAAGCCCCGTGCCTGGCCTTCCTTTCCATTTCTGCCACAGTTATCTTAGTTCGGAGCCTCTGAGTTGCTCATCTGGGTTTCCCCAAGTTGCCTCCAAAAGTGCTGACTCAATCTAAAGCTCAGTGTACAACCACCACATTTGAAAAACCTCAGTAGGCCCCCCCCCCTTTTTTTTCCTGTTATGTCAAAAGTGATTCCCTGGGTCTGGTTTCTTAGGCCAGGAATAATCAGGCCCGACCTCATGTTTTCAGCCTTACTCTCACCTCCCATGGTACCTCATCCCTACCCCAAAACTTCTGCTCAACAAACCAGCCTCCTCCTGAGCCCACAGAGCAGCCACACCATCCCAGGCTCTCCCCTTAGCTCAGGACCTCCCTGCAGCCCTTCTGAGGCCCTGCAGCTTCACCTTCACCTGTTCAGGCCAAACAGGCTTCGAGGTTCGGCTCACAATTCCTCTGCTCTGAGCCTTTCCTGAACCATTTCAGTTCTGAACTATCCCCAAAGGCCACACCAGTTACACTGAGCGCACAGCTTGGAACTGAACCTTAGAACGCCTCACACTGATGATCAGTTCTTCTTAAATATTTATCCTCATATAATTTCGAGGAAATTTTGAAAGTAGGAGCTGAATATGCAGCATCGTGATGCCTACCACAATACTGACGCTGCCAATGTTTATATTCATTTACTTGTTGAACAAACACGTGGGGTGGGCCTCTAGATGCCTGGCCCTGTGCTAGGTCCTGGAGAACAAAGGTGAGTAAGGTGTGGTCCTAGTTTAAGAGTCTCGGTTTTCAACCTGTGTTAAATGCTGAGAGCGTGGGGAATGGGAGGACACAGGGTTCACCCAACTCATAGCCAGGGAGTCAGTGAAGGCTTCCTGGAAGAGATAATAAAGCCAAAATTTGAAAAATATGGACGAATTTTCCAGGCTGAGTGGTGTGTTGGTGAGGAATGTTGCAGGCAAAGAGAGCCATGTGTGCAGAGAACTGAGGAATATTCTTGGAGCTGTAAGGGAATGGCTTGGGGCTTCAGCGGGGGAGGGTTGGGGTGGGAGATAAGGCTGGAAAAGCGTGTATGGGTCAGACCGCAGCAGGACCTGCAATGCTTTGCTAAGGATGAAGAATGAGGTCCTAGTGACCTGGTGAGCCATTGAAGGCATTCAAGCAGAGACAATAGCATAATTTGCTCGTTTAGAAAGGTCCCTCTGGTGAAAATGAAAAACAAATAAGAGGAGGGCAGGACTGGAGATGGGGGACTAAGTAAGAGGCTCTGGGGGTAGTCCAGGCAAGCAGTCAGGAGGAGCAGAGCACTGGCACCTCTCAGACCGGCCCTGCGGTGCCCTTCCCTCATCTCACCTAGCGGCCCTGCCCCTCACACCCGTAATTTTCCCTAAAGATAGGTCTCTTCCCTACACTGCATAGTCGTCCCGTCTCCCCGGCCCCCAGCCTCCTTGCAGAGAAGGCGACCCAGGTCTCACTGCCCTGTTGCTCGTGCCCCCCTCACCTGGATGACTGGTGCGTGTGGCAGGCTGGGGTGAGGTCCCAGATAGGCTCTGAAGAATGGGAAGTAATGGTACTGGCTCATCAGAAGTCTCAGAGTTCGGTTAAAGTCCAAGGAAGTCCAGTTCCCAGAGATTCGCCAGCCTCCAAGCTGGGAAGAGGAGAGATGTGGCTCAGCACGGGAGCACCCTCTCTGAGACTCACCCCCATCCGCAGACGGCTGCTCCTTGCTGACCTCTCCTCATGCCCCCTTGTCCCTCTGGGGCCCCACCTCTATCCTCCTTCCTCCCCTCTCACCCAAGCGTTGAGATACTTCTGCAGGGTTGTCGTTTCCAGGTCCTTCCTAGCCCTTGGGGATTCCTAGGAAAGAGACCTACCCTCTAGGAAAAAAAAAGGCAGCCCTGAGCCTACATTGGTATCTAGAAAAGTTGATGCCCAAGGTCTCACCTCCTCAATGACTTGTCCGAGGGGACCAGCCCCTGCAGCCTCAATGGCACCTGTGTCCATGCAGGCCTGGTAGAACTGGGAGGCTTTCTCCTGCCCAGAGCCCAGGTGCCAGGAACCGGGGGCTTCTAAAAAAGGAAGCATGGGAGAATTAAAGATGCAGAGACATGCAGGGGAGCTGCAGGGGACATGCAGGGGAGCTGGGAGACGGGTTGATCAATGGAAAGAAAGGGAAGCCTCTGCGGGAATGGAAGGATGGAGAGAAATGGAGGAGAACCGGGAAGATGGGACAACCGCTCAGCGTGGGCCAGATGGACTCCACGGAGGAACAAGAGTGTGCAGAAGGCCACGAGGGAAATACAGGCAAGGCGAAAATGAAAAGAGGGAGGAAAAGACAGGGGAGGAAAGGATGCAAGAGGAGCAAGTGAGCCATGGGTGAAGCAGAAAGGGTGGGCAGAGAAGGCAGGAGGAGGGCGGATGAAGACACCAGGAACATTCGGGAAGCCAGAGAACCTGGAGGGACCGCAGAGAGGAGCCCTCGTAAGGACACGTTCAGCAAGGAGGAGGCGGAGGCACGGGCGCCCTGGTCTGGAGTCCTCACTCCCTGGTCCCAGGAAGCAGACACACAGACACAGACAACATCCAGACACATGCCCGTTTGAATCACTGACCCCTAGTATCCAACAGCTCTCCCTCAGTCCCCCGAGACCTCTTTATTCTATGTGGGAACAGAATTTATGCTATGCATATTTTTTCCTTTCATTTCTGTGCCTTAACTGGAAGCATGGCCCTGCACCAAGAGAATGCCCATCTCTACTCCCCTCCATCAAGCGCAGGACAGAGGGATGCAGTCATTTCTCCCAAATTCCAACTGTCAGCACGCTCCCTCAGTCCCCTTGCACTGGAAAACCATGCCTACCATACATGTTCTCATTCCCAAATCCTTGCCACCACCCACCACCTTCCTGGACTGACTTCCAACCTCACAGATGCCCTCGGTTCCTCCCTCACGGGTTTCCTCTCAGTTCCCTTCCCTCATCCACAGCCGCCACGTACAGGAATCGTCTTTATGCCCAGGGGTTCTAACTCGGCCCTCTGCCCTCCCGGCAGGCCTGGGCCTGTCCCCAGTCACCCTCTTGCGCAGCCAGACGAGCCCACCGCACTTCCTTCCACCATTCTCTGCAGTCGTCGGTGCCCACAGCCGCCGCGCCAGCTGAGCTTGCACACTGCGCCCCGAGGTTTCCCGGAGAGCAGGAGGTGATGGCGAGAGGGGCTCGGGAGGATGGCAGGACGAGGCTGACACTGACCCAGGCATCAGAAGACGAGAAGGGAGTGAGGGCAGGCACGGGAAGGAGAGAGCCTAGTGCATCACGGAGTCACAGGGGCGGGAGAGCACCAGGCGTGAAGCAGAAGTCGAAAATTTAGGAAGAAAACAGAGACAGGGCTGGGTAAAAGGGAGAAAACAGAGTAATCCTGTGTCAGTGGGAACGGAGAAGATGGGAATTCGGTCCAGTGAGATGAAGAGAGGCGCCAGAAGGGTTGGGAGGCCGGGGCCCGGAGGTGACCGGTGCAGTGACGGAGGGGCAGACTGCGGCGTCCCCGGGGCCCATGAGGATGCGCAGACCAGTTGCCACTCAGGCGCTCGGGTCTGCGGAGCACGGTGCCCGCGGCTGTTCCCCGCTTACATAGAGGGTCAGTGCCCCTTACCCAGGATTCTCCGGAGTCGTTCCTTGTTCTCCTCTGCAAGAGTCTGGAAGGAAGTACTGGTTCCTGCGGCCTTTCCACAGGCAAAGCTGAAGAAATCGGCACAGGGCGCCGCACTGGTGTTCCCGGAGGCCAGGTAGCGAGCCTGGAGGTCCCTGCACACAGGCGTCTCACAGGGGCCTGCGGGGAAAGCTCAAAGCTGGGGGACGGAGAGAGGGCTCCCCGGGGGGCTCAGCGAAGGAATGCCTGGAGGACCAGGCGGAGACCCCAGGACGAAGGAACCAGTCAGAGGGCGGGAGCCCCAGGAGGACGGACGGATGGACGGACGGACAGGGCCCACATGTGAGGGAGGCCCGACTCAGTGGGGGGGTTCCCGGATCTTGCTTACGAGGGCCACAGCTCCAGAAGATGTAGAACAAAAGCACAGAAGAACCAAGGAGCAGACCGAAGAGCAGGGCAGCCATCAGCCCCCACCGGGCCAGGGCCCGCGGGTGGCACGGTCGGCTCCGTCTGGCGGGCAGGCCCTCTTCTGGAGACCTCTGTGTAGGAACCAGCAAGGGACAACCACAGGGTGGAAGGGTCAGGAGAGAGGGGCGGGGAAAGGGCAGGAGGGTGGGGGGGATGAGTAAGTCAGTGCCAGGGCCCCTCTGCACGGAGATAAGGCTCCTCAGCCCCCTGGCACCCAGCACCATGTGCACCCGGGGGCTGCGCCAGCGGGGGCTGTCACGCATCCCGGGTAAGGATCAGATAGGCTGTGCAGGGGTGGGTGTTGATAGGACTTTGGAGCAGGAAGGGTATCTTACATCTGCCCTGTAAAGGCCCAAGAGTCACTTACCTCCTGGCTCCAGAGAGTCCCCATTCCACTCTGCCGGCGCCGTCGCAGGGGTTCACTGAGGTTCGTCCCCTCTCTGGTCCCCACCCTCCCGACCTGAGTGAGGAGCAGGGCAAAGAGAAGCTGGTTCAGGAAGTGGGTGCATTAAAGCACACCACCTCAGGTCGTGTTGGCACAGCCCCCATACATTCTTCCACCGGGCAGTGTTCCCACCCGGGCTTCGGCGTGAACTCTCCCCGGGAGGCACCCACTTCCCGCCCTCGCCCAGCACCTGCTGTCCTTTCCCATTTGCTTCAGTCTCCGAGCCTCACATTCCCTCCTCTCCGGGGGCGTGGGGGACACTGTCCCCTCCCCCACCCTAGGCTTCTGACTCCCAAACGGAATGGTTTTCTCCAGGGGACTTGCCGTCTGTCTGTCCTCTCTGGCTCCTAGGATCCTTCCTGGTTCTGCTCTAGGTGCCGAGCCTGAGAACTGGGATTCAGGAAATAGCCTTCCTCCTACCCCCACCCCAGTTCCTCTGTCCTGGAGAAGGGGAACTTCTGCCTCTCCCCCAACCCCATGCACATGTTACTGGCTTCTGGGTGGAGCCTGTTTATCGGTCTGGAGACACCCAGCCTCCCCTCCTCCTTTATCTCAGCGTCTCAGGGGAGGTGTTGGGAGGGAGTCTTCACTCCCCAAGCACTCTGGTCCTTGGCTGGCTCCTCTTGCCCTGCTCTGTGCCTTTGCTCATAGAGTTATTTCTGGAATATTCTTTCTTCTCTCCTTAGATTCTTAGGTCAAATGCTGTCTTACCTGGGAAGTCTTCCAGCTCTGCGCCCATTCCCGCTGATCCTGAGTAGGAGCTCAAACTTCTCTTGGTATGTCAAAAACCTGCTGGTGCAGGCACAGCAGTGCACAGAAAATACCAACAAACCTGGTGGGAATGTAAATTAGTTCAGTCATTGTGGAAAGCAATATGGAGGTTCCTCAGAAAACTAAAAATAGAAATACCATTTGACCCAGGAATTCCACTCCTAGGAATTTACCTGAAGAAAACAAGATTGCAGATTCAAAAAGACATATGCACCCCTATGTTTATTGCTGTACTATTTACAATAGCCAAGATATGGAAGCAACCTTAGTGTCCATCAGTAGATGAATGGCTAAAGAAGATGTGGTACATATACACAATGGAATATTTTTCAGCCATAAGAAGCCTACTATTTGCAACAACATAGATGGGGCTAGAGGGTATTATGCTCAGTGAAATAAGCCAGGCAGAGAAAGACAAGTACCAAATGATTTCCCTCATTTGTGGAGTATAACAACAAAGCATAACTGAAGGACGAAAACAGCAGCAGACTCACAGACTCCATGAAGGGACTAGCGGTTACCAAAAGAGAGGGGTTGGGGAGGGTGGGTGGGGAGATGGGAGAAGGGGATTGAGGGGTATTATAATTAGTACATACAATATAGGTAGGACACAGGGAAGGCAGTACCGCATGGAGAAGACAAGTAATGACTCTATAGCATCTTACTCTGCTGATGGACAGTGATTGCAGTAGGGGGAGGGAATTGGTAATGTGGGTGAACGTTGAAACCACAATGTTGCTCATGTGAAACCTTCATAAGATTACATATCAATGATAGCTTAATTTTTAAAAAATGACCAACTAACCAGGACACCCTGGCTTTCATCTTCATCTCCCTAATGACTGCAGACTCTAGTGGCAGGGACAGTCCCCTTTCGCCTTCACATCCACCTAAGATGCTTCATAAATATTTGTAGGAATGAATGGCATTCTAAGCCAGAAATGCTCTTGCCCACATCATTCTGAGTCTTCATCTTCCATCTCAGTGAGCACATTTCACCTCTGTCCCTTGCTTGCCCATCCCAAGCAGAATGGGATTCATTAAGATGGTCACATGAATGACATGTTGCCAGTATGTCCCGAACACATCAGCACTCGCTGTGGTGCATTTGCTGGGATGGAGGTAAGGATGGCTTCAGGGCTGGCAACTAGAACAAAGCTGCTATGTCCCCGTGCCCGTGGAGGCCACACCGTAGAGCATCAAGAAAGCTGTGAAGAAAAATCAGGGCTTTGTGCGTTATCAAAGGTGGGGCTGAAGGCTTTGGAGGAAGAGTTTGACATGATGAAAATAGTAGCTACTAAAGGCTGCTGTGGTACTGGGGATCTGGACTGATAAGATAAGAGACAGGATAACAATTGTGTAACATCTTTCTGACAGATAGTAACTATACTAGTTGGGGTGAGCATTTAATAATAATGTAGGTAACTGTTAAATCGTTTTGTCATACCATACCCAGTCACACCACGCACAACAGGGCAGTAGTCACCACCCAGCTCTAAGCACAGAGGGAGTTCCAGCTAGCAGGCACTGGCTTGTGGGGCAGGTCCGTGTTCATCATTGCAGACACTGCCTTCTGGTTGCTTTAACTGTTCTGTTTGGTCTATTCAAATTTCAGGATCTTTTGTTTGATATCTTAATAATATCAAAGTAATAATAATAATTATAGCACCTATTTTTTACTGAGCACTTCCTATGTGCCAGGGACTAATAAATGCTTTGCTTATATAGATTTTTCCACTTGGTCTTCACAGTAATTTCATGAGAGAGATGAGAGCTGTTTTCCCCAATTTACAAATGAGAGAATAGAGATACATGGAAGTACAGTAAACTTGCCCAAAGTTATAAAGTCAATAATTATCAGAGCTGGGAAATGAACCAAAGCTTTACCATGGAGCCCCACAGTCATTAAGATTCTGTTTTGGGGAGTCTCTTCTTTCACGGCTTGACTGTGTTACATGACTGCCTTGAGGGCTATTATTCTCCAGACTCTCAAACATCCAGCTTCACCTTTTGAGAGTCATGCCTTTGTTGTCTGTCCATGATTGGCCACCATGTACACTGTGTCCATAATAACCACCATGGTTAAATTATGAAAACCAAGGATGGGACATTTACCTACCTACTGTGACACTCTCAGGTATGTACTTCAGTGGCAATTCACTTCTAAAATCACCTGATAGCAGTGATAACAGCTAAAGAGCTGCCTCCTGAGGAGCAATAAACCACATTCTGAACAAACCAGAGAAGCCTTGATGTCATAGGCAATGTTGGGGAGTTTGATAAGAAGAGGAAGAAACAGATCACTGGGTTGGATTTAGGGACATTCCTCTTTCAAAAGAAGCCATATCAAGAACTGGGCATCACCTTTGGGAAAGAAGAATTTATGGTTTTTGAAACAATTTAAGTGACAAGTAGATGGACCACTCTTAGTATTTTCATTTTCATATATACTTTTTCTTTTATAGATATGACTAGAATATATAATCCCTGTTCAATTAAATTAGTAAATCAATAAAAAATACATTTAACAGATAACAGTTGGGTTGGTAATGAATATGGCAAACACTTGAAGGTAATGCCCAAAACACTGAAGTCTGAAATGTGTATATGTCAACATGCCTCAAAGGGATGATCCTTATCTTTATTTTTCTTAGTATTTTTTTTCATGCCACCACTCCATTCTTCATATAAGTGTATCAAATCACCACACTGTACATCTTAAACTTACACAATGTTATATGTTAATTATATCTCAATGAAGCCGGAAAGAAAAAAAGATCACCCTTAGCAGTGTGAGTGGGCATCGTCCAATCTGCTGCCTGCTCCCGTAGAGCACAAAGCCGGAGGACGGGCAAATTTGCTGTCTTTGCTTGACCTGAGACATCCGCCTTCTCCAGGCCTTGGGCACTGGTGCTGCTGGCTCTCAGGCCTTTGAACCAAAAGCACAATCCAAAAAAGGAGTAATTAATAAATTGGACTTCATCAAAATAAAAGTTTTTGCTGTGCAACAAGCCATGTTAAGAGAAGAAAGACTTTTCTCAAAAAATGGAAATTTTGCAAACCAAATATCTGACAATGACTAGTATCTAAAGTATATATTTTTTAAAAACTCTCAAAACTCAACATTAAAAAAATGAACAATCTGATTAGAAAATCGATGAATAAATTAATCCAATTAGAAAATAAACGTGGACAGGCATTTTTTCCTAAGAGGATATAAAGATGGCAAACTAGCACATGGAAAGATGTTCAATGTCATTAGTCATTAGAGAAATGCGAATTCGAATTTCAATGAGATATCACTGGTATGTATCAGAATGACTATAAATAGTGACACCAAATTTTGAGAAACAATATGGCTCTATGTTGTTTGTGGAAATGCAAAATGGTAAAGCCACTCTAGAAAACAGTTGTACATTTTCATAAAAAATTACATACGCAACTATTATGTGACCCACCAATTCACTCCTGGGTATGTATTGCAAAGAAATAAAAACTTATGTTCACACAAAACATGTACCCAAATATTGGCAGCAGCTTTATTCATAATTGACAAATTGGATACAACTCTGATGTCCTTCAACTGGTAGATAAACATACTATGAACAGCTTCCTATGTTGACAGATCGTAACTGCACTAGTTGGAGTGAGGATTTAATAATGTGGGTAGTAGCTGTTGAACCACTGTGCTGTATACTGTCCCACCAATGCAATGAGTTCCCTTATGATCAATCAGTGCCTGGCATGCTTCTGGCCAGTGCTTGGTTCAAGAGTGGGCACATGACCTATGTGGTTCAGTTTTAAAGAAGCCCTCTTCTGCATGTTAGAAGAGATGTTATATTCCATCACCACCCCTGCCCTCTAACCATACAGACATAAGTGTAAAGAGAAAGCATTTAGCCCCAGAGCTGCTGGAAGCTATGTGCAAGTCAAGCTGATATTCAGGAGATGGAGTTAAAAATGGAGGAAGAAAAACTATGCCCTCATCCCATCATTTGAGTTCCCAGCACCAGATTCTCATAAATCTAGTCCTGCATTGTTTTTACTTCTTAATTGAACAAGATAAGATTTCCAGATTTATCATTTGACAACTAGAAAATGTGTATTTTGCCTCTATCCTTGCTCTGGATCTACTTGTGTTGCTGTCTTGATAAGGGGTCTCCAGGACAATTCTCTTTTGGAGATTGGAGTCTCCCAAGCAAATCCTGTTTTGAAATGAAATTTTCTTAACTTTGCTTTCCAGATTGTCCTCTACATTTGCTGAAGCCTGTGGTCCATAAATATAGAACTGGCGGCTGTAACTGGATTTTAGTACAGCAGTTTGAGTTTTGGTGCCAACGCTATGTTTGAAATGTAAGAGTGTTACTGCATTTGTACTATGTTTAAAAGACTGATGGGTTCCTTGCACCTGGAATGCCTAACCACTCTTGAAAAGGGCCACAGCCACACTTCGTGGTTCTCCAAAAAAGAGATGATGCAGAAGCTGTCACGTGTGGATGTCTGAAGCTACAGGACATGAACCCCTGTCCAAGCTACTATTCCTGGGCTTGCACTTAAATGTGCTGCCCTTCCACTGACTGAACCTGAGCACAGTTTGCAGACTATTAAGACACTACTCTGATTTCTCTCCCAAAACTTCTATACACACTGTGCCTGGAGTAGTGAGAAGTCATAAAATAACTCTTTAACCCTGGCTTTGATAAAATTCTCCCCTGAAACGTGGATTAAAGCTAGCATGTTTGGTTACACCTTGAGACTCACTTAAAGAAATAAAGAATCCAAACTAGCTCCACCCCAGAAGTAGGAAGACAGTACAAGTAAGTGACCTTTGACTCCCATTCTCATATTTATAGATGGCAGGTCTTGTCTATATTTCTTTTGGTGTTTGTCTGTATTTCTAGCAGGTTTTACTGAGGTCATGGCTTCTCACAATTGCACAAAAACTCTAAACCCTAGCACACATTGAAACTACTGTGCTCGTTGTACCTGCCTCTGACCGTGACATGGGGGAGCCTCCCACAGCCTCAGACAATGCACTGCTTCTCCAGACCTCCACTCTATCTTCTCACCTAGGCATTTTTGGGAACTGCTGTTTCTGAATAGCATTTTTTAAAATAAAAAGTAATAGAGGTGGGTCAAGGCAAGGGTGTATGCAGTGTTCTCACACCCAGAGGGAGAGAGAGGCAGACAATAAACAAGTGTTGAAATAAATACTGTAATTTTGGGAAATGGTAACTTCTGGGAGGAAAAACAATGCAGCAAAAGGGGATGGACAGAGTTGCAGGGTGGTGGTAATGAAGTACCATTTTTTATAATGTGATCAGCCTTTGAGCAGAAGGAGTGAAAGTCAGCCCTGTGATCTGGGGAAGACTCTGAAGTCTCCTTTATGTGCAGCAGGATGTCATTGGACAGTTTTTAAATGATCCCCCAGTCTCCTGGGAGAGCTAGTCTTGAATAGAAGCAGGAAGACTGGTCAGGAGGCTACTGGAATCATCACAAAATTCAAGCAAGAGATGATGAAGCTAAGGATTAAAGTGACAGCAATGGAGGAGGTAAGAAGCAGCAGAAATCTAGATATATTCAAAGATAGTGCCAGTAGGATTGGTTCATGGATTCCACCTGAGATGAGATGAGAGAGAGATGGATCAAGCACAATGACACAATGCCCGGGTCTGACACCTGAAGAGCTGGATGAATCATGATGCCATTTCCTAAGGAAAAGAAACCCGAGGGAGGAGTGGCTGTGAGTGCGTGCATGTAGAGAGCTCTGTTTTAGGTGCTTAAATTAAAGGATGCTTATTTGACATTGAAATAGAAATGCTGAGTGGGGTATTATATATAAACGTCTAGATATCAATGTAAAGGTCAAGGATAGAGACAAGTCTGGAAGTCTGAATGTAAATAGATTATCTTTAAAGGCAAGGGACCACAGGAGATCACCTAGGGATGAATCTAGGAGATCAGAACATGGGCCTTTGTAACATTTGATGGCCAGAAGGAGAAGAAACCAGCAAAGGAAATTAATTTGGGGAATGCTAGGGGATTTCTCATCTGTGTGTCCTTTAATGTTTTTTAACTGGTAGATGTTGTAGGTATTGAAGAGATGTGATAGGAGATGTATGGGTATTCATTCAGATCTCTTTATGCACTAGAATTATTCTCTTTTTAATTATATTTATCAGAGGTTTTGTATTTATTTTTATTTGTATTTTATAGTTACATTTATCATTTTCTTCTTCTCTTCAAGTAACCAGCTCTTAATTTCATGTATGATTTATACCACTCATTTTTTATGTTTTTAATTTACACTTTTATATTATTTTCCTTTTTCTTTAGATTAATAGTTTGTTCTAGTTTAGAATTTTTAAGTATAATAGTTTTTCATTAATATCTCTTTTTTATTTCTCCTTATTAAAGACCTTTAGATGAGTACATTTTCTTCTAAACACTGTTTTGGCTACATCCCAGCACATTTTGCTATGCAGAGCTGTGTCTGTTATTACTTTAAAATAGATTTTTATTACACTCTTAATTTTTTCCTAAGCCAATTTTTACTTATAAAAAGTATTTTTAATATCCTAAGAAATTAAGCAATTTGTTAGTATTTTCATTATTCATTTCTTCTTAAATGAGTTATGATTAGAGAATGTGTTGGTAGAATTCCTGCTATTAGGTTGGTGGTTAACCTTTTAAAAACACCTCTATGGCCTATTTATGGGTTTTTTTGTGTGTGACATCTTTATACAGATATAATTTCAATTTTTCCCATCTAATTTCACAGTAATTTGTTTAAATTGTCTGAACAACTGGATTGTCCAAGCCTTCAATATTTTCACTAACTTGTTTCATCGTGTTGATGCTGTCAGTCCTCCCCTTTCCTACCTCTGAGAAGCACTGCTCTGTTTGAGGTAATCCTGACCAAGAAGAATTGCAATAAGGGCAATTCTATGAGTCTGAGGAGTTTGTGATGAGTGCCACTGCTCCAAACAGCGTATTTCAATGGCTGGGTGAGGTTCCTGGGTCATCGCTTTCCTATCATGACCTCTACATGATGCCACAGAGCTGCTGAGTCCATTCTGGTTGTCCTCTCCACCAGGACTGGATCTCAGCTCCAACTCAACATTACTGTTTCCTGGGAAACTTGATCCTGCCCCCTGAATCCTTGGCACTAGATGAACAGATGAGTCAACCACAATTATGCACCCATGGTTACTGCTTTTCGCATCTGAGACCCTATTTGGGATCTTCTCAAAGTGCTGAATTCTGCCAAACCAAAATCCATGCTTACCCCTGGGATCTACCTGCCTTGGGGGAGTCACTATATTGTTAAGTCTAATTCCGACTTCCTTCCCCTGCCACATCTGAAATGTTAAGGTGCTAGCATGCCTACAGCTTGAACCTGCTGAGTACGTATCACATTCTGATACCGTGCAGCTCTCGCCACAAATGTATTATTTTGTCACTCTCTCCAGGTAGTCTGGGTTACCAGGGAAATAGATGCCAAGACCACATTAACTCTGCAAGTGTGTATTAGGGTAAAGCCTGGGAGAGAATCGGAGGAGGGAGCCACAGAAGGCTGGGGGAGTCATCAAGCACAATGCACGTCTGACCTAGAGTGAAGGGAAGAGGGAGAGAAGGTGGGTGGAAGAAGGCAGTTCACACTGCCTCATCATCTAAGGAGGCTTGGGAAATCACTGGGGAGTCCTCAAGCTGAGGTTTCAGTCAGAGGCATCCCTGGTCTCCAAGAATGGGTGTGCCTTGGATGCCACGGGAGCAGCCTGTGGGTGCCACGGCCTCCCACGGTCAGGGATGTCACGGCCCAGTGGCATGCTCCTCAAGGCACTTGGGGGTCTGCGGCGAGAGCTCTGAAGGCTACCATACTCTTCTCCATTTTAAGCAAGGTTTCATTAACACATTTTAGTGTCATAT